CTCTGTAAAATCACCCAACTTATGTGTGGTTTCACTATATATTGCCATTGCACCTAGAAGGATAAGAAACAGGTCCAGAAGATATAACTTTTTTTTGGGAGTGACTTTTGTTAGTTGAATAGTAAAACTAATAGCAAGAATAATGGCAGATGCAATTATTATATACATTAAAATAATTTATTTGGATGTCTTATAAAAATAAAATATGAAATGAATTCTAGTTATTAGTGAATAAGAGCAGAGGGATTTATTTAATTGTGAATAAATTTAAAATATATTTAAATCTTTTTTATTATGGGAAAGAATTATAGAAATAGATCAAAGACATCAGCCACCCCAAGAAAACCCTTTGAAAAGGAACGTCTTGACAACGAGTAATTAAATATATTTATTTTCAGATTACAAATTATTGGTAAGTATGGACTCAAGAACAAGAGAGAGGTTTGGAGAGTTCAACTCACTTTAGCAAGAATCAGAAAGGCAGCAAGAGAATTATTGACACTTGATCCAAAGGACCCAAGAAGATTATTTGAAGGAGAAGCTTTAATTAGAAGAATGGTTCGTTTTGGTTTGTTATCAGAACAAGAAAGAAAGTTGGATTATGTCTTGGGTCTAACAACATAAAAAATGATGGAAAGAAGACTCCAAACTTTCGTATTTAAAAGCAATTAAGCATCCTCCATTCATCATGCCAGAACTTTGATTAGATAGCGACATTTCAGGTAAAATTAATCATTTATTATCATAGAGTTGGAAAGAGATTAGTCAACTCTCCATCATTTTTAGTCAGAGTCGAATCTGAAAAGTTGGTTGATTTTGCTGTCACTTCACCATTTGGATAAGGCAGAGAAGGCAGAAGAAAGAGAAAGAATGCCAAGAGAGTAAAACCAAACAAAGAGGAATGAAAACAATTTATTTTAAGCATAAGTACAATATTATCTATTTATATATCTTTATTTTCAATCTGCCTAAACATCTATTGCATATAATCCTGGGTGAATACTCTTAGGATTCCCCAATTTTCTAATTACCCAACTTTATGATGGTTTCAGAACACATATCATACTACATTAATTTATAACTAAATTTTACCCTGAAAATAATTTAGTCTATGAAGCATTGCAAGAATTTGGGCACTCCACTTCCCTATTCCATTATTCTACTGTCAATACCATGCCACATTACTAACAAGCTTTTAGATCTTTCGTCGATTTTGGTAATACAAACTTCTTTTCATCATACTCTGACATGTCTGATTCAGACTACATATTTAGTGAGTTTATTATTATAAATATTTCAAAGTCAAATTATTTATAATCAACTTATCATTGTTGTTGTTATTTTGTTATTCTTCCTAACTTTATTCTGTATTTTAAAATATAAACATCCATATAATCATTAAAAAACAATTGATCCAAATTATTCGATAAACTCAAATTCTAACAAATAATATTTTTGAATTTTAAATTAATTTACTCAAAAATTCAATTCATTTCTTCAATATTGCTATATTTTATCTAAAATAAACAATTTTTACTTAAATTCAGAATCGGTTATTCTCTTCATCAATTGGTAAACTTTATATTAATACTTTAATTCAAGGGTTAATCCTAAACTAATTAATTTCATCTAAAAAGCCAAGCCAATTTCGGTTTTAATTTTAATCCAATATCCGAAATGTAAAAAATCTATTTAACAAAACCAAACAATTATTTATAACCCTAAAAATTTAGAATTAAGGTTTCTAACTCATATGAAAAATTAATTAGTTGACTTTATTAAAGAAGTTAAATCCTATTAATTCAATCAATATGGTGAAAATAATTAATAAATATATAATTTTAATTACTTAATAATTTTTCATTATAAAGCTTCATTTTGAACTGTTCTAAAGAGTGTTGAAATCTTAGAAGTTCATACCAGGTATACGCTGAGGAGGTTAAAAATTTTGTTGTTATTAGGATCCCGGGTTTCCTGTAGGAAGTATCTGTACACTATCATTTATGCTTCCAAAAGTACTTCCCTGTAAGCTTCCAGTTTGATTTACTGGCATTTTTATTAGAGGAGGAGGTTATTTAAGAGGCAGGGTATTTCGTATTTTTGTGGGCTCAGAAGTTTAGAAAATTTCGATGTCGTAAACATCAAATTCTCTACAATTTGAAAGATATTCTTCTGGATTGAATATATCAGTATCACTTATATCAAAACCAGCTCCTAATTTGGATGTACATTTAGTAAATGAAGAATTTATAAGAATATCACCATCTCCAAATTTCAAAATCCAATCTGACAAATTAGACTTTTTATTTAATTCAAAAGCTGTCTTGTTTATTTTTCTGAATTAAAAAAATTTTTTTTTATTCATTTAAAATAGAATTGAATTTTGAGCATTTTCTATACAATTATAGACTCCAAAAATGCAGTTATTTTTAGTTTAAATTACAGTAATTGTATCTACTTGTTCTAATAATTCTATTTATTATAATGTTTAATAATTTGAGCCTTGTTGAGTCATCCTATAAATTCTTTTCATATTTTTATAGAAGTTTTCTTCATTTTTTGGTGCAATTTTCTCAACTATAGTTTCTAAATATGGAGTGGCTAAAGTAGATGTCGAAAATTTATAGTCTGTAAATGTTGTTTCTTCTATTTTTTAGATTGATTGCATAATATCCTTAAAACTAGCATTGAATCTATCTAAGTCAAAACTATTTAAATATTATAAAGGCTTACAAACGTTTCTATTTGGTAACAATATCATCTATTTTGAAGATAGCTTCTTCATCAATCTTCTCATCGACCTTATTAATTTTCTAAACATAAATTTCAGCCTTTTCATTTAAATCTTTAAACATTTCTGGACTTCTTTCAAATTTTTCATTAAGTAAAACCTCCTTTAATTCATCACAGTTGAAATAATTACTGATTTTTGGATTTTCAGTCCATTTAATTAATTCATTTAGATATTCCACTTATTTTTATTTATGTATATCCATCATGTCACGAATCTTTGATTGTATTTCTTCTTATAAAGACGAAACCATCTAGGTATAATGAAATTGCTATACATTATAAATAAATTCAATATCTAAATATGGATGGTGATTTCTAGCGTAATTGAAATACTATTATTTATTATTGCTATCAAATTTAGTATACTTGAAAGCCTCATAATTTCTGCCGTTGATAAGCTTAAATTAATTATTAAGGATTGTACCTCCTCAAGATTACAGCAATGTTATTGTAAAGAATTGTACTTCCCTAAGAAACATTCGTCACAAAATAACCTTTTTTGGATCGTTCCCTTATCTTTTTTCACCATTAAATATTTTATTTTCTATCCTCTATGGAAATGTTAGTCATCCTAACAATAAATCCCAATCTGTCTTGGCACTTGCATTATTTTAATAGAATTAGGTAAATTAATTATTTAATTATTAATAACTATTCTGTTTAATAGTTTGGAGAACTTTATAATAGAATTATCAAAATTCAAATTATAATATCAAGATTCACCTTTAAAATTGCAGTTCATTTTCCTCCTATAGACTCTAATCAAATAAAAAGATCTCTATAAAAGAATAAAAATAAACACTACCTTTTCTTCTACCACATTTCATCAAAAGAACAACAAGACAATTTATATTAAAAGTATATTTATGAGATATTCAAGATTATTATTATAATTCTTGATTAATTTGGAGTATAATCCTTAGTTATCCATTTATAATTAAGAACATTTATAATTAGTATCATGAAATATGTTTATTTAGAGTTGAGATACCTGAAATTCATATATAAATCCCAATAATTAAGTTTTAATTTCTATTTTAAATATTTTCTTAAAATAAAAGTAGAATTCATACCTGATATTTCATAATATAAGAGGGAGTTACACTTTGTAATACTATCAGCTTTTTACTATATAAAATTAATGAGGAATAATAATAAGTTTGATAATATAGGAGAGATTATAAAAGAAGAAAGTTTCTGAGTGAGAACCGTGGACATTAATCGTTTGAAATGTTATTATGATCTAGATATTTCAGTTAAGAAAGTCTTGTTCAAATTTATTCAAATTAATAATCTTCAATGCCTTTCTAAAAATAAACACATCAAGAAAACGAAAATCAATATAATGGATGAATAAAAATGGAAATTGAACATCTATCTATATTTAATATGAATTCAATATAACTCACTTTAGGAAATTTTGTCAAATAGTAACTTTTTTAAATTAATACAATAATTTTGTAGGGATGCTTTACTTTTATAAGTTTAGACTTATTATTTTGCATCCTCAACCATCTTTTACTTTTATTGATAGTTCCTTCTTCGTTAAAATATATATTCCATTTTCTCTTTTGACAAAGTGCCTCTTAATTCTGGATTATTTTCAATTTCATCTTCAATTTTTTACCTTAATTATTTGTCCTCCTCTGATTCCTTTACAATATCAGTACTTTGACTCTCAACTTATTCATATTAATTAGTTTAATCTAAGTTAGGAGAAGCGCTTAATTCAATATTAGTATCCCTTATGCTATTTAAATTAACTTGTCTTGTCAATACTGACCATTCCTTTTGATTAACCCCAATTGCCAAATGAATAGATTGACTAAGGGAAACCGATAAAGCCCTAATAACAAATGATTTAATTTATACATTATTCCCCCAGGTAGAGTAACAATCACAAAAATTAGACTACAAAAGTAGTTTTCATAATATTTCTTATCAAAATCGTAGTTGCCATATAAAAAAACTCCAAAGCAACTGATGAATAACAAAGTCAGACAGGATTAAACCACCCCATGTAAACTGTAAAATAAATAAGATATTTACTAAAAAGTACAACTGCAACAAAGGGACATTAAGAAAATTAAGGCTGCATATTGTACATAATCTGACTGAAATAATTTATCCATTGCTTCTTACATACTAAACGTTTTATATGTATGTTAAAACAGCACAATATACCATATAATACATTAAAGGACAAGAGTATAAACCCATCCAATGAAATATCTGTAATTTCTTTATCCTATACAATTACTCATAAAAGTGCAATGACTTATATATATATTAATATCATACTGATCATACATCTTCACACAATTATTACAATTATAACAATGACTTGTTTTTGGAGGTCTCATGACTCTACACCTTGAGCAAAACCTTTCCTAGAAGTATTCCCCAATTTTTTCACTTTTTGCGCTTCTATTTGATTTCATTGATCCAAAAGATTCTTCATCATCAGGTTAAGGTCTTCTTACCACTCCAGGTTCTGTAAAAGTTCCGCTTAAATAAGTATACATGAACAGGACCACACATGTCCAATTAACCCATGAATTCGTAAGATAGAAATCTTCTGAAAAAAAATAGAGAAAATAACCTATTTGTGGAAATTAACATATAGATTACATTGAAGCATAGCATAAGAGCCTAAGACGAATAATATCATAAAGGAATCAGATAGTGATCCAATCCAAAACTTTCCAATCAGGAGAGAATTATCAAAGTACTATATTCTCATTATTCTTATGATATAAATTATATTTATTTATATTTTATATCCTCTATTTTATTTTTTATTCTATGGCAGATATTAGATTCCAAATTTGTAATATTTAACTCGATTGTCTTAACTAGGCTTATCTTTGATAAATTTACGATATTAATCAAAATTTAGGTGAATTAAGTAAATAAATAATTATTTTACCTTAACTAATTTGTAAATTAAATATTCCTACTTTGATCTATTCAAGATTTGTGATTAAAAATAGCACTATACACATAATCTATTTGAATTATAAGGATATAAGTTAATTAAAGAAGTAAACAGCCTCGAAAGAATATATTTGAATATGCTACGAAATTTACGTTATAAACTGTTAATATTAGAAACCGGAGAAGGAAATCTGACTTTTATCACTTGAAAATAACAGGCTTAGAGAAATTAAAAGGATAGAAATATTTTTTCATTCAAAGTAACTAAAAAAGTTGAAATATATGATTTGAAACAATGTACAATTCAGGATAATCATTCCAAGTTAATATTAACATATAAGAAAATTATATTATAAAATTGGAGAATCAATTCTTACGGATTTATTTAAGAATCTTCAAATCTTATATTTTGATTCTTAATTTATAATACTATTGATGATATTTTGTCATCTTATTTTATACAACAATTTATTGGTAATTTTAATATTTAATGAATGAAAAAATACAAATTCTGCTAAAATTTATGAAATAAATAATAAATTTAATTTGAAATGTTAATTGTTTTGCTTTTATTTTCATTTTCAGTTTAATTAACATCTTAGAAAAATGATTAATCAAGTGAAGACTATAAACTTATAATATTCTCAGAATTTTGCTATGATTAATTTTTTGGAGATTCAGAGCTGAATAATGAATGCATTTCGGATGTATATTGTAAATTCATAATAGACAATAAGCAGAACAATTAGCATTTTAATGGTAGCATTTGCTATTATGAATCAATTACCTCAAATTCTTAAGATATTTAAATCTTAATCAACTCAAGGGATCTCTTTTAATTCTTATTACACAGAAGTATGAATTTCAAATATAAATAGTTATACCTATTTTCATTTATAACAGCTTATAATATATATAAACAGACAAAATTTATTTTGTATGGTGAAAATATAATAGTAGGTTTAGAATATTGTGTTGTTTTAAGTTTATTCTTGTTTTACGATAAAGATTTGTCTTTTCATTAATGGCTGTTTAAAGCAGTTTTTTTCATAACTATCAATACTCCTCTATATTTGGGTCTAGGACCATAATGGATCTTCGATATGACTATATACATTAACATGAGTTTATGTAAGTTAATAATTTAATGAAAATGTAGTGTTTATGGCTAGATTTTTATAAATAAGACTTAATTGTAGGAATAGAAATACAGGATAATTGTCATTGCTTACATAATTGTAGAACTATGCAGGAAGCGTAGCAAGATTATTTACTTTGTTTAATGATAATGCAGATTTCTCATATATGGTATTTATAAATGAGAATCTAGGTATATGTTTTAGAAGACAATATCATGGGTACAATACTGCTAATTTAAATTTTCAATACTTGGAGAGCAGAAAGAAAAAGAAAAAGGAATAATCATGATAATATTACAGAGTTAACAGGCAAAGGAATAAAATATGATTAAATCTGATAAATAATTGATTCATTTATAGTTTTCTTAATTAAAAATTAATGTGAAATTTGGATAGTAAAGGTTTATTTGGCTTAGATATTGTTTTTAAGACTTAAAATAGTTTGGAAAAAATTCTTGATGTTATAAAATGACAATTAAGACTGTTTGAAGGTATTAGTGTGAGTTTATTAATAAAAGGAAGAGGGATCCTTATAATTGATTTCTAACTAATTGGTTTATATAATAAAAGTTTTTATGAATTTGGTTATAATAATTATAATTAGAAATGAATCCAATCTCTATGCCTCAATTTAAAGGGGATCCACTGTTATTCCATGCGGTGGCACATGGAAATGTTTAAGAAGTCATTTCACTAATTGAAGATAAGGAAGCCAGCGTTGATGCTCGAAATATTAATGGTGCAACTCCTCTCATTTATGCTGTCTAAGCCAATCATCCTTAGATTACAGAACTTTTATTGAAATTTAAAGCAAATCCAAATTTAAAGGAATACTATGATGTAGGAGAAAAGACTGCTTTGCACTATGCAGTTGAAAAAAATTAATTTAAATTATGCTAGTTACTTTTAGATTACGGAGCAAATCCAAGTTTGTAGGATAAAAGAGGTCTCACTTGTTTACATTATGCAGCCAGATAAGGATTCAAATAAATCGTTGTGTTATTACTAAATTATGGAGTAGATATCAATTTAAGAGATGAGAATGGATTCAATGCTTCATATTGGGCTTAAGTTAATAAGTTTAATGAAATTTTGATTTTATTGCCCCCACCTAAAGTCATTCCCTCTAATGATTTATTAGAATTTAAGACTCAAATGAGAGAAATCCATAAAATAGAAATAGGTAAAAAAAAGAAGAAGAAGAAGAAATGAACAGTTTTAATATATATAAAATAATATTTTGTCAAGTTAACGCTTTTTAGTTCAATTTTGGTTATCTCCTTAGTTATATTTATTCAAATCAATTTATAATATAAAGTTGATTAATTATATAGCAATTAGAAATATTACTATTGATAACATTAATATATCTACATTTTCGATTTTAATCCTACTTATATTAAATTAGTGCAATCCATAATATGTCTACTTAGAGGATCGTGATTATTCATATTTATAAATACATTATCTCCTTATTTAATGCATATTTATAGTATAATATACAATATTCTCGTTTGATAATCTGGAATAAATTTGCTTATGAATAAATCATATCTTAATAAATAAATAATCAAATTATTAAGTTTATATTTAATAGTTAAATAATATCTTTTATATATTAATAGTAAATGCTAATCAATTTTTTAGATAGAAATCAGGAGCTCTTGTTGAAAAAGATCTTATTCTAGTTTTAAATTGGGAGGATTGGATTGGCTTTTTATTTGATGTTTAGTACTAGGATAAATCGCATAGAGGTTTGAGTTTTGATGGAAGAAATGACTTTTTAGTTGTTGTAGTTGTTGCAATAGATAGATTATTTTCATTTCCTGTATTGATGGTTGTTAATTTTCTCTTAATAATTCTTTTTTTATTTTAAGTATTTTCATCAAAAGAGTGACATGATTCAGAATCTGAAATATCCATTTATTAATGGAATTTTGGGAATTCCTTGATAAGTTAAGGAGTTGTTGTCAGATCAATAGCTTTGCAGATATCAATGCCAATCTATTAAAGGGACTTTATTTGAATATCTTTACCATTCCCATCTTGATTTGAAATTCTCATTTATAATATGCAACCCATTTTTACAATAGTTCTAATAAAACAATATAAATTACCCTAAAGCGAATGGAAGAGTATTTTCCATTTTTGTTGATTTTCCAAATTTACTTTAATTCAAATTAACGTATTGGCAAGTTTATGAAATGGCTGCAATAAATGGTTAATCTTGATCACACTTACCAACAAAAGTTATTCCATATCTAATTAATATTTTTTAATATTTTACTTATTAAATGTTTAATGTAAATCTAGAACTAAATGTAAATTTTCGGATTTTTTTAAGATTGCTTTTACATGCTGAGCACTAGGGATTAATTTATTAACTTTATGCCATTTTTAGTTGATATCTATTCCCTAAAGTGTAGTGGTACTATTTCCATGGATAACACCATCTGGATTCATCAATGGTAAAATTTTGAAACAGAATTACTCTCTTAGATTTTGACCGTCTTAGATTGTTAAATATTAAATGATGGCTTCAACCACATACGATGTTATCACTTCTGAAGGATGCTACCTTGCCAGTATAACTATTAAAGGCTTAGATGAATCTCCCATAGTGATCACAGGGCATTAATTACCTGGATTGATAGTTATTGATTTCAATTTAAAAAAAGATCTAAATTAGGCTAAAATAAATACAGGTTCGACAAAGGTTTCAAGAAGGATTGGAGACTTGTTACTCCATAGGGTGGATACAAGGCAAAGTAGGTGATATCTTCTTTTTCAAAGAGATAACTAAATGATAAGGTATAATAGTTAGCGTCTTGATTTTTTTTATAGTTGTTCTTATAATATTACACATTATCTCCGCCTCTATACCATCCAGTACGAGCAGTGTAGATGTAGGGATTGACACTTAAATATGATGCTGATTTACTCAAATTGATAATATTCAATTGGAGCATCATTCTTTCTGGAGTTCTTACACTGAAGAAATACCATCTTGTGCAACCATTTGTTTGGGTATCATTATGTAAGATCAAATTATATTTTTTATTGGCAACTCTATGTACAGTGTACAAATTGCCACATTCGAAGTTGGAGTCAAAATGAATGGGTCCTTTTGAAAATAGTTGAGTTCCAGAGTATTTTGGAGATGCAAAATTCTATCCTTTAGGAGTTTAGATAACAAATCTTTAATAAACCAAGGCTGAATTGTTATGCAATTCGTGAAATGTCTTAAACTAGGTTTATTCTCTTTAAAAAAAGTCGATATCACAGCATTCGAAGTTAAGAACATCTTTTGGAGGCTTATATTAATTATGAAAATAAGGCAAGGGACTAATTACTAAATAAAATACCCAATCTAGCCAGGATAATCAAATTTAGGTTTTGTAAATTCAAACGGAGTTTAAAGAATTGGATTTGCAGTCGGTAACAAATTTTCCATTCAATAAGAATTTTTCTGTTAATTATAAAATTATTCTAAAACTAAGAATATTGTACAACGTATTATACTCAGAATAACTTTATTGAAAAAAAATGTATATAAAAAATAAATGTAAGAGAAGTAACCGATCTTAGATTGATTTGATTAAATGGTAGTTATTATGATGGAAAAGAAGTTATATCGAGTAATTTTGATGTTTTAAATAAATAAATTAATAAAATTAAATGAGAAGGCCAAATGAAGTTGAGTATAGCAAAACAGCTTTAATGGGTATTTATGATATTAATTTCAGCTAATTGGTACGAAGATAGGTTGGCTCCTTAATAATTATAGAGAGATCCAGATGCAGAGAAATCAGTATTTAAGGAGAATATAACTAGTTAAGAACTGTGGAAGAGGGAATATCCATACCTGGAGATAATGGATGTTTACTTCCATTACCTAGAGTGAATCGCAATCCTCCTTACATTACAAAAGAAATAATAGTCCCAGATGATGGATATGTATGATGATATGAATAATATATAGAGAGAATTCAGGACGGAATTCTAGACAAAATTTGATGCAAAGAATATTTAGAATATGCAATTAGGTGATTGTAGAGCACTTGTCAAAACAAATGGAGAAAAAGTAAAATTTCCTGAATGTAATCCAACAGTTGCATAAACTGCTGGAGCTAGATCAATAAAGCAATTAGATCAAACAAATATGCAGCAGATTTTAGTTGACAGAGCTGTTCATTAGGGTTACACAGACTTTGGATCCACATTCAGAAATCATCCAGAGTAGCATAATAAATTTTATTCAATTACTACTTACTAATAATCATTTCAGCCTCCTGAAAATAATGTCAAAGAAGTCCTCACTGATAAAAAGGTTAAACCTGTAGCAGCTGGATGCAGAGAAAGAGATCCCTTTGATTAGGGATTGAAAATGACTTCGGTGATCACAGGTGAAAAATATAGAGATTGTATGATTCATACATTTATCCAATAGCTGTTGATCCAAAAGAAAACACTTAAGTATAGAGATAATGGGTTCATTGTGGGGATTCCGGATTGAAAACAGCTTAAAATAATTTGAGATCTAGTAGCATTTAGAATTATAAGAAAACTGCCTATTAAGTTCATCCATATGACATTGCCACTAGTTTACCCATGGGAGGTATATCATTAATATATGTAGATGGTGTTTACACTCTGCATTCTAAATATACAGATCCTGGACAATTTAGACATATTAGAAGCGATGTCACTAGAATTATGAACAAGCCAATCACAAGAAAATGATGATCTATCTAATGATAATCCAGTCATTTAAATAATTGCAAGACTTCTTTCATAAGAGTAATTCTTTCTATAATAATCTTTATCTTATTAATATAATTTCATTTGGCTAAATGTAATAATGCACCCAAAGCACCAAACAAAACAGTTGAGCCCAATGCTTATTATTTGGCTCTCTACCAATCCCATGGCATGTGGTCTTTATGATATAAAATACCAGAATTGCTCTTCAAATAAGGGTAATCCAAGTGATGATCAGCATCCAAATCATATGTTCTAAAAAGATCTCAAACATAAAGTGATACCTCATATTTCTCTCATCCAAAGGAGTATTGAAGTTGGCTCTCTCCAAAACGACCTTACCAATCTTGTCTGCATTCTTGAATCCTGTGAATTAACCCATCAATTGGAGGTCTGCGTAATTCCACTGTGAATTTCTGCGATTGGCTACATTTCCATATGAATTGTCTTATAACTCTGGCAATTAGGATAGGAAACAATCAAATGATTACACTGAAGCGTCTTCCAATTTATGTCTATCTGTTACTTCCTTATATTCATATGGCACAAATCCTAAAGATACAAGAAGCTAATGTTAAACAATTTATGATACTCCTTCCTATACTGTTTAATCTGCATCCTCCTTTGTAACCAATGGAACTACGCATTCATATCCTGGCTTCTAAAATTCTGTTCTTGGCACCATCATCTATAAGTAATGGAGTGGTCTTCCCTTTACTCTTACTCTTCTGTATAACCACTCATTCAAATTCGAACTATTCCATGGTGGACTTACAAGCTCTTCATCTCTGAGCTCATAAATTGGTTTCTTCAACTATTCCTTTCTGAATTAAATTTCTGATTCTCTCCATTATTTTTGTACTTGAGCATAAAATGCATAAAGCAATGATCCACCACTCAAACCGGCACAAATACTATAATATATAGCTTATATTGATTTACTATTTGTAAGTTGGACATTGAGCATTCACTCTGCTGAATCCACATAATTACTTAAGGGCAAGTGCCATTTTTATTAATTATATTAATATAAATAATAAACCTTTTTAGATATGAAATTAAAAATAAAATGTTTATTAATAAGTTCTAATAATCAATATTATTCCATTTTATCTTATTCAACAACACAATCCCAGAATGGTCAACTGCATATATTAATTATTATATACTCTAATTATATACAGCGATAAAATAGATATGAATCTATAGAATATTTAACAATAAAGTAAGACTGTTAATATCAATCTAAAAGCTATTTGAAACTCTATAAATCATGTTTAATAAGTAATAATATCAAATAAAAAGGAGTACTATTTGAGATTTTACTTCATTTATAAACTAATACGAAAGCATCCTCTAATGAGATCAAAAATATAAAGTTACATAATAATTGATTATGATTTCAGGTTAAGATAGAATAATCATTAATATTTCACTTTTGTACCATTTTAAAATAATTGATCTTTAACATCTTATTTATGAAGCAAAATTTACAAAACAATAAATTGATTCTAGTATAATCTTAAAATCTAAATTTTTTAATAGCAATATTGTAATTGAGATCTGATGTACCAATAACAATGAGTATCCATGTAAATAATTTCTTAAAAATCTAATAATTATTTTTATTTCTTATTTCAATAGGTCAACTAAACAAATCTGATAAAATTGTTATTTTCTTGAATAAAAAGTAAAGTTTCATAACCTGTCAAACAATTATTTTAGTTAAAATATAATTTATTTAATTGCTGCAAGTATTCCTTTCTATCCTTCCAATATTATTCAATCAGGTTAACTGTATTTAAATCAGCTATAAGTTTCTCAAAGCAATAATAATTTGATTATACAACCACTTTTTCACATAATTAATTTCTAAATTTCAACCAAAACCTTTACACTTACAATCACATTTAGATTATATCCAATATTATGCTTATTTTATTTAACTACTGTTGGAAACTGATCAGGGAATGATATTATAAGAAATATGAAAGAATTAATTTATTAATTTATTTAAAATGGATTAAGAATAAAAGTATCACTTTCACATCCCTTTTGTTAACAATTAGTAGGAGAAAAAGGAGGAAACAAAGCTTACAATTATAGGTTTGATTGATGTTTCAGCTTCAATGTATACCAGATGGGAGTGGGTAGCTAACTTTTGGAATAAATCAATACCAAAAGACAATTTAATTACATTAACATTTGATCACAGAGCAAAAAAGGTGCATAATAATGTTTTATCCTAAAATATAGAAGATCATGGTGAAGGAACTACTGAGATAGTTCCTGCATTCGAACTTTTAGAGACCGAAATAGTAAAGGTTCCCAAGAATCATAATATTACAGTAATATTCATAAGTGATGGTTAAGACAATCATGTTAATACAATAGAATAAAGAATGAAATAAAGATTAAAGGGAAATGTTTAAAAACGAAATATCAACTTTATTTGTTTGGGAATTGAAGATGAGTTTCCTACATTTTTAGCAATGTAGTTGAGATAATTATATCACAAAGGTGATCCTTAAATTCCTGCATTGTATCTAATTGAACATGCCTCTGAATAAGCTTTTCATAATAAATTTGAAATAATGAAAAGATATTTTTATTCAACAAAAATGTTACAGGTTAATAATGTTGTTAATTTATTCCCATATGATGAAGAAGTTACAGATGAAGTGTATGAAGGATAATGGGTTTATAGTTCGAAATCAGACTTAAAGTTTATCAACTATCCTGATGTTTAGATCATTCCAATCGAATAAAGTTAACTTGAGATTGATGATGTTGTTGATCTCTTTAGATCATGGGTTCAAAACATTTAAATTAGAATTATGGGCAAGCATGAAGATAGCAGAGAAAAGGCTAAGAAATGCTTATAAATTGTTAATTCAATTACAAATAGATTAACAGAATACTTTTAGATGGATGTGTTGAATTTCAAGATGGAGGAAATCAATGATCCAAATTAACCATTTAAAATAAGAGCAAAAAGAAATTATGCTTATAAATATGGAAATAAATTACTATTTTTTGTGAAAGAATTAGCATAACTATCCGAAGGATCCAATCCAAATGAAGTAGATGATTTTGAAGCAGCTAAAAGGTTGAATATTGGTACAATAGTTGGAAAGCATCATTAAAAGGCTTTAGCATTAAAGGGTATTACAGTATAGGAGTTTAAATAAATAAGAGAAGAATTTTAATAAATCATTTAAAATTGCAAAATTAATCCTTAGAATGAATAAGGTTAAGAGAGATCAGTCATTTCATTAGAAAATTTCAGAGACATTCTCTCTTAAAAACAAGATATTTTAGAAGGATTAAAATTTGTAAAAACATAATATGACTTTGCTGAGACATTCCCATTAGTTGGTCATGGATTAAAGGTGAAGAGAAATGATGGATCGTTTGTTAATCCATGGTTAATTTAAGTTTAATCTTTTGCCAAACATAACAAAGTAATAGATTCTGCCTATTTAATCAAAAATAATTTTAATGTTCAATTATAAATTGGTGATAATTAAACAGAAGAAATCAATTGTATTTTACCTTTGTTCCCATAATCTGACAATGATTTATAAGCTGTTCTTAGATCAAGGATAATCAAGTTGCTATTGACCTTTATGGTTTAATAAAATGTAGACACCCTCTATGAAGAAACTTATTTGGCATTGTTATCTAATTCGCTAATAAATGTATTGAAAAAGTAAAAATCGTAATGGTAGACTGAAATAATGGAGTAAATCTTTGAAACTACAAAATTAGTATATTCGGGAACTAAAAATTTTGAAAATTATTTATAGAAGCTATTACATAATCCAAATTAAGCTTACTTAGAAAAAGAAGCAGAATATGAAGATTACGTATCAACAGCAAAGCCCTTCATTCATCTGTTTTATTTATCTAAACTAGGGAATGTAGTGAAAGATTTTGAATTAGAAATCGAAAGATTGATTATTTATTATTTCATTAGGGAACAATATAAACATCAATAATAGCTATCTTACTTTCTGAAATTGAAATTAGAGAAGCAAGATGAAAATTTTGTTTAAGAATAGTTGAAGGCAACTTTCGAGAAACATGTTAGCATCAAGAACTTTAGAAACTCAATTACTAAAGAAATAGAGGACACATTATTAGATAAATATTAAAAGGATTCTACAGTGATTGGATTGAATGAGGACAAAGTATTCAACCAAGATTTGAAGTTAACTTTAGATGCCATTGAAACTTTCTATGAATAATTTAAGGGCGTTAAATTTGATCAATAAAGATATGTACACATCATTTATCATGCTCTCAAATTGTAAGAGAAGGATGTCTTCTTAACAAGAGTCAACTACAATAATTTAAAAGAAATTCAAAAGGCTATGATTTCAGAAAACAAAGGTAATTTAACTAAAGGAGCTTCAGCGATAAAATTAGCTCTAGAAAAAGAATATTAAGTTTGGTTTATTAAGAATCATATGTTGGTTCAACCATTAACATATGAATAATTGCAGATTGAATGCCAATAAAAAGGAATTAATATAAACACTATAGCTTATAATGTAAAATCTGGATTAAGCAGCAATTGTTGTATGGCAAAATAGTGTCCATACTATTTAATTGTAAATGGTTTAGATTTTAAAAGACATGTCTAAACATGGGGGAGAAAGGTTCCTTAAGGTTTTCATTAATATGTGAGATCAGAGATTTTGAAAGGATAGAATATTGAATAGATCATTTAATCTTCAACTCAAAAATGGAAGAAATTTCCAAAATTATACTTAGGTAATGAAGATATTGTTCATCAATATATCAAATTAATTTCAGAGTCCTTACCTATGGAATATTAAATAAAGGAATTACCAAAAGAATAACTCTTGCATCATTAAGTTAAATTGACATTCCCATAAAAATAGAAGGTTAAGAAATATGGAAACAAGAGAGGGTAAAATAGATAAAATTAAAGAGGTGGCTATATTAGAGGTCGTGGAAGAGGAAGAGGTAGAGGTAAAAAACATTGAATTAATTGTTATTATAATTTTAAATTATTATCTTATTATAATCAATAAAAATTGAATTTGATTTTCTTATGTTTTATTATCTTCTATGTTTAATTTAACTTTGATATTCAATATCTATATCTAGATTTTATTTGTATGTAAATTATATATAACCATTTCGGATACTTCTTGGTAAATCAAATAATATATTATAATGATCTGAAAATTATAATTTAAGGTTCAATTTGAACCATTTCTATTTAATTTCAATTATAATAAAAATAAATCTTATTTTTATTGAGATCATTATTATATATTTGATATATTTTCTAGTAGTATTATGTTATTATATAATATTGTATAAAGATGTCTGTCTGTCTGTAATAAAAAATAATAAATAATAAATTATACTCAAAAAGAGAGAAAGATTAATCTTTAATTTTAGGAATATGTAAAGATTATTCTAGTAATCAGAGAATTAGTTGTTGATTACAATGTAATTGAAGCACAAGTACATTTAAATAATTAATAAATAATTAATTATATAAAATATGGCAACTTGGAGAGCCTTAATGTCACCTTCTAGGAATGTGTCTCTATAAGAATCTAATTAGAAATCTATCGACAATAGGATTCACACTTAACTTAAGGGGAGACATGCTAAAACTATCACATAGAGTACTAATATTTCACATCAGAAACCGACGACAAAAAGATTGCACTCTTAATCGATAGATATCGATAAAGCATTTATACAATCATCATCTGATAATTTGTTGGAAGTAATAAATTTGGCTATACATAGGAAATTAATGTAATAGATGAATAATCTCATTTGGGTGAGATAAAGGAACTGTTGATGATGAATTAAATTTAATTACAAAATCTAAATGAGGAAATTGATAAATTTGATTATAATTAAAGACAAATTAAAGCATTATAAAAATAAATTTTGTTTTAGAGAAGGAAGTATAATTTATTAATAAATTCGTAAATGAATGATTGCAATAAGAAGTTGTAATAGATTTAATGGAAATTACAACCAAATTGTTGATTGAAAGTGATTGATATTAGTAAGTATGTATTTATCTTTATGTTAATATTATTTTTATAATTTTTAGAGTATTCTATTTAATATAAAAGATAAATAGAAGGTCTATTTATGTTGCATAAGTTTTTAACAAAATATAAAATTTAGAATATTAATTAATTTATATAATAATGGAAACTTAAATCACATTAAAGATAAAAACACTAGATAATCAAATCACTTCTTTTTCTATTGATCCAAACAACACTGTTTAATAATTGAAAAATGTAATTTAAAATAAACTAAACATACCTTTTGATAAGTAAAGACTGATTTACCAAGGGAGAGTTTTAGAGAACAATAAAACTTTATAAGATTATAAAGTATTTAGTAAATGAATCGACATAGTTATAAAATGATCATGTAGTTTTATTGCCAGGATAGCCAATATAGGAAGATCAACTAATCTAGAATTAAACTCAATAATCATAATAATAATAATAGTAGTCGTAATAAACACAAGGCGTAAATGAATTCCTTGAAATGGATATCTTGAGCAACATTCTGAGAACACTAAGTAAAAGAAACCATATATTTTAGGACAGCATCAATATAATAGATAAAATGTAAGAAGAATGGTACAACAATAGAGGAGCAATGGTAAGAACTTCAAAGATTTCGATTAGGTTTCAATGTTGACAAGCAAGTATCATTGGAGGGCATAAGATAAAATTACCAAACCATCAAGTAGTTATTAGATTCCTAGGTCAAACCTGAAGAATTAAAGCAAGAAGATATTTAGGGTATGTTAAATTGAATTCGACATTTAGGTGAATATGTAAACCCATTTGATCCAAAGAAACGGACATTCTAGGTTGGATAGTGGATTGATGTGAAGGATACGATTGATCAATGGGTATTTATGTTGTTTTTATTATTTCTATTTTAGCTTGAAGCATAAATATAAATAGTTGAATAGAATAGAATTTTTATCCATTATAATGGATGGGGTAGCAGATGGGATGAATGGATCGACATACAATCTCCGAGAATCGCTACTTTTAGAACTTATACTGTAGGTAGTGCTAATCAAGACTTTTTATGTCCACATCCAGTTAGTGATCCTGATTGTGAGGTAGAAAAGTAAGAAATTGATATGCACAAATTCATTTTTGATGTCGGACATATGATGAATTAAGTTACTTAATTGTTAATAGAATTTGGGAGATTCGAAAATAACAAAAGAATTGCTGAGAAATAGATTTAATTACAATAACAATACTAATAAATGTTATTGAATAAAAATAAGGAAATGAATCCTGAGGAAAGTCAATTTGAAATGAGAAAGAAAGAAAAAGAATTAAATGAATACGAAATTAAATCCAGTTTAATTGGTTCTTAATTGGCACCTATTTTTGATAGGATGGGTCGAATGATGACGGATTTAGCTCCTCATTTAGCTTTGATGGGATCTAAAACACAAAGAGTCAACAACAATAACTAATAATAATTGCTATTTTAGGTTCCTGTAACTTTAACACCAAATGAAATATACTAGTCATAATAAAATGCTCCCACTCTTCACAGTCGTCTAGAAATAATTAATAATAGACTCGCTATACTAAGAATGACTGAGTTCATTCAATAAGAAGATAGTGATGATGATCATTTTACTATCTGATTTTATACATAATTTGTATAATTATATTTCATAAATATATGAGTTTATTCTACGGAAAGAGCTAAAAACAAAAAATATCAATAAATTTATAAATCTCTATTAAGGAGAGCATTATCATATATCCATTAATTTTACTTTGATATACATAGTCTGTATTCTATTTGAATCAAAAATAATTATATGATTAATTATAAAAATTTGAACAATATAAATGAAACAACCCATCAATCATAAAAGTCATACTCGTCTTCAAATTATTTTTCATCCTCTAAACAATCATCGAATCCCCAAATTCCAATTCCATTACCTTTTGCTTCAATTTCATAATTTTTGAACTCTTTCAAAGGATTGTATAAGACTCTATCATCTATTCTTCCTAACCTAATTCATTTAGACATAAAATTATACCCTTTTTCTAATACAATTTTATTAATTGTGAACTATAATTCATCTGGTTAGTCTTATGGCTAAAGAGTTACAAATTATCTATTGGATGATTTCTCAGTATATGCAACTTTAGAATCAAATTATTAATCAAGTAGCAATTCCCTAAATAAATCAGATGCCTCTTCTGCATATTCATGTGTTGATGGAGGAACTCTCAAATAAGCTAAGGAACACATTTTAGCCTATTAAGGAACATTTGTAAATTAAGCAGGCAATACTCCCATATCTTGATAGCTGACTTCATCATTATTGCCATAATCTATAAATTTGATTAAGAATTTATCATTCTTAAAGGCTTGCAATACCTGAGCTCTGTAAATTCTATTGTCTTCAGAAAATCTTGCTAAACACAAGGTCCCTTTCTTTACTGGTTTCTTGAGAGGCTAATAATTATAATAAAAATAAATTACAATCAAAGCTGCTTTTTCAATTTGAATTTCTAGTTCTTCAAACTCAGGATTGTTTTCTTTTCTGAGGTAAAATTCATGACAATCATTAACAGCAGTGACAGTGACTTTTTAGATTTGCTAATTCTCATTTTTTTATATGTTTCCCTAATTACTTATTTGTTTCTTTAAAGTTTATTTATTTTGTGAAAAGTCTATTATAAATTAAGCGTAGGATTCATTCCAAAATCCTTTCTTAAGTTTCTCTGCCTCTTTTTAAGCATCCTCATATTTACTATAAAAATCAGTATTATTCTTGATAAATGTTAATCCTTCTTTAAGCAATTATAAAGTGAAATCGGAATCTTTATTATTTTTCTTCTCATAAATCTTTCCATAAAACATATTCTCCAAAATATTAAAACTTTCAAAATGAATCCAAGCATTTCTTTGTATTAAAATATTATAAATAAATTATTATTTTTTCTCTTCATATTTGGTAACATTTGGAAAACTTGTTGCAAATTCAGATAGCATAGCTATTCCAGATATGGTAAAGTTAACCATTGAATGATACTTTAATATCGTTACAACAAAGTTTCCATTAGGCAATATTTTATCTATCAATACTTCAAGTTAATTATCATCTTTGATTGTAATACCAGTATTCATGCCTGATTATTTTGAACTTTATTTATCTCTCTGAATACTAGACCAAATTATTTCGTTAACACTCTTTCCCTATTTCTAATCTGTTTAATCTTCAATTCTCCAAGTCAGTTCTGGACTATACTATCCAAGTTTCTTCTATTTAGCCAATAGATTCATTTATTAAAATTGCTGAAATTTAAACTTTGATAACTAAGGATGGTTCTCCTTAGGTGTTGCCCATCCATTGGCAATAAGTTCATCCTCTATATCTAAATTGTTATCGCACAGTTATATGGTTTGAAGTGGTATGTTATCTCCTACTTATAGAATATGAACTTGCTTTCCTATTAGTAATTTCCTAGCAAATTCTTTGGCTTCTAATCCTTCAATGAAAATCCTATCTAATTTTATTGTCAATATTTCCTTATCAGTTTTAACTATATATTAATTAGCCTCTACTATTTCGACAATTTATCCAATAGTTTAAGAACTAACTGAATTGAGCATCCTTCTATCTAATTCTCCATTCTTCCAAAGTCCCAAATTATTTTTTTTAGCTTCCTCTTAGCTCTAAAACAATAATTGAAAAGAATTTTAAGATAAATTCAATTTGCTAACTTTACATATATCAATACCCCCAATCAGTAATAAATGCATATCCATTTGAAATTAAGGAAATGTAGAATTCATTACTTAATTCATTATTTTATTAACTTGAAAGATATAAGTCAGCTTTTAGAATTGGAAAGTTAATTGAATTTCTTTCATGAATGACAGTCATAATTTAAGTTCCTTTGAAAGTTATGGTAAACTCTTTATTAAGCCATTCCTTCTACATAATTTTGGAGTATCCTGAATCTTAAATTGCAAATTCTTTAATAAATTATAATAATTACCATCTATATAAATAGCACTAGGAATTAAACTTATCAATGTCTCCTTATTATAGAGGAAATTTAAAATATTTCCTTCGAAAGAGACTAGGATGGCATCTAAGGATTTATTCCTATGTTATTTGATAAAATCTTGAACTTATTGTGTTTAATTTGGATTCTCATTTTAAACACCAATGAGTTTTAAATGAATTTCTGTTTCATCTGGAATGTCCTATTATAATTCTGCTCCATTTATTTATAATTAGTTAGCTTTAGTAATGTACAATGCTTCCTTATTGACGAATCTCAATTATTAAAAGTACACATCTATAGCCTTTTGATTAATATTTGTTTTGGATCTTGTTAAAAAATTAGGAATTCCGTTTCCAACAATAATTGTCTTTTGTTATTAGGTTTGTATCAAAAACTAATTGGGAGAAATCAAAGATAATATTTTGCATGGTTGGAGTGCCATCTAATATAAAAATTAATGAAATTCTTTAATTATTTAGTTCTAAAATTAATAAAATTTAGATTCTTATAAAAAATAATGATGCCTATTCTCAACATATAAAAGATGATTATAATTTTATATTTTTAATTTTCATAATTTGCGATCACCATATTTTTAATTCTAGATTTCACCTTTCTTTTATTCCTTTTCTTTGTACATTTCCAAATATCTTAATTTCCTTTTCTTTTTGGTTTCTTCAATATTATGTTTAGCCCTTAGGAATTTATATGCAACGTAAGCCAAATATACACCTATGGACTTAAAATAATAGATATTGTCGTACCCTAAACACAAAATAAATGCCCATGATCAAAAACCATATATAATATAAAATATATTGTGATTAGCAAGCATCTTCTGATTGCATTGTATGTAATCCATAGACTTTAATCATCTAACATAATGTATCAATCAATTGATAACAATCTTTATCAAGAATATTCTTACCTTTAGACTGTGAAATAGATGGGGGCTATTTCTATCAAGACTATAATGATCGTCAATATTGTGAACTTAATAATTGATATTATTAATACATATTAAAAGTATTAGTAATTATTGCCTATTCTTATCATACAATTAATTAGAATGGTGATGCAAATTAAGATGGTGAAAAATATAATGGGCAATGATTACTTGGTAACACTGAACACCACATTAACTAAAATTATTTGCACCACTTCTAAAATCTAAATATTACATTTTCAATCTTACACACCAATAACTGTTATAAATTCTTGAATAGTTAAGACTTTTATGAACCTTTGGGTTATAAGTAAAGAAAACAAGCAAATTGTTCTTTATGAAACTAAACAATAGAATTCATTTTTACTTCTTAAATGTTTATTCTTCTTAATCCTTTTAATCCATTTATTAATTAATATAATAAACAAAAACTTTGCATTATTAAATCTACACAAATAAACAATCATTATTATTTTAATAACTATTACTTTCCAGTAAATTAAAGATATCATTGAATGATGATTATATAAATTATAAGCAATCATTCCAAAATGAAATTTGTTATAATCATTGATTTATTTGGATATTGACGGAACTACTAGTTTTTATCTGAATTTATAACCCTCCTTCTAATTGAATTGCTCGAGGATCGCTTCAGCTAACTTGATAACAGATTCACTGTTTTATACTATTAAATCATTGCTAAATCATTCAGGCTTGTCAAATTAAAACTGCTATCAATTTAAGATGCACTATTTCTCTTCAGACTTATTGAACTTATCGGCCTTGAAATAGAAAACTTTCTGGATTTGAGTTATTCCATTGAATGAATGGCTGACCCTTCATTCTCTCTTCTCCCGATGAATAATTCGCTCTTATTATTAAGATTTTTTCTTCTATTGTTTATTTGCTAATAATAATCATAGTAAAATCTTTTCATTTATATTAAATTTATTGTTCAATAAATGCATTTTCATTAATTTTTAAGTTCAAAATAACAATATTTATTCTCAAGCATTTTCACGTTAATAAATACTAAGGTCATTTGAAAAAATAAATTATTATTATTAATTATTATCAATTTACACACTAATTATGAGAAATCTACACTAAAATAAACGAGAATGGCAATCAAGCTTTACTTTTTTTAACTCCCTACTATAATTTAAATACTCAACTATTTTTATTTCGTCACATCATGTATATAGCACACAGATATGCAAAGATGATTATTTGAACAAATTAGAAATAAATAAACAATTTTATTTTAATTTGACTCAATAATATAATAAAAATTCTGAACTATTACTACTCTTAATATAAAAATATAATTAATGAAATAAGGTCAGTTTTAATATTCTGCAGGTCGAGTTCAGTTAGATTGATGATTAAATGAAAAATAAATGGCTATATATTATATCGTTTTCTATATCATTACAAAATTTACATAATATTATGATTTAAAAACGGATTATCGTTTTCCTTTAACATGTATAACGACTCATCTTCTAAAATAATATGGTATAACTAATTTCTACAAATTCACTTTTTATACTGTATCAATGTAAAATTGATTAAAGCAAGTGATTAAGTACTGATAAATACTTGATAATAACAAAATACATCTCATATTTTGATTATTTAAATCTTCTTTTTAATCTAACATCAAAACTAGAGTCTCTAAAACTAATGAACTTTAACCTCCCTTGCTTTATTCCTTCATACCCTATTTAATAAACGGCCTTTGTTTATGTCCCATTCTTTTAATCTTACCCCTCATTTACCTACTAGGTGCAAGCATAACAACTTTAAACATTTGTACCCCAAATCAAATCCATGCAATAGCTTCCATAATTAGAATCTCAAGAGCTCAATTAGAGAAGAATAGAATAACCACAATAAAAGGAAACAGAAAATTGTTCTAATTCTTCTGATTTATTGGCTATAATAAGTGCAAATATCACATAGGATAAGCCAATATAAGAAAAAGTAAAAATATCAAAGCCTACACATCATTTCAATTAGGTTTAATTTGAAAAAGAATCAAAAAATATCTAAAAGAATTACGCCAAAGCCATTGCTAGCTTTATCTATAAAAATAAATAATTAACTTCTAAAATCCTTAACACTTCAGAAGTTGATGAGTTTATTAAATTAGTAAAGCTAATAAAAAACTAAATCTAAAATGTTAGTCATATTTCTTAATATACAAACAAATAGGATTTTATAAGGGCTTTTAGAATTTTAGGGTAATGAAATATGTAAATATTATTTAGAAATTATTTCTTAAAAACAAAAAGTAATTCCTATATATTCAATTCCAGAATATAAAAAAAGAATAGCCATCTTAGACATAAAAAATTAATTCATCATAGTCTGCTAAGATGTTGAAATAAAATAAAAATCATAATAATATTCCAAAATATATTTTTGAATTATAATTATAACAAATCGAACTCCTACAACAATAATATTAGTGAATGAAGTTCAAAAGAGGATGAAAATTCTAATTTATCTATAAGTTTCATTATCGAAAATATTTATATAATTGTAATATTTTTGAAACTGAATATCCATCGCTACACGATGTATCAATTTGATTCAATTTTATTCTAAACCTAAAATTATTATTGCTTTTCACTAATATTATTCATATCTCAATTAATTTGCATTTAACAAACAAATGAAATTAAGAAGTTTGTTAATATTTTCGTTTAAGTATCTTGCAAAGTGGCTGTTGGCTGAGAAAGATAATTAAATAAAATAGAAAACTAAAGAATAGACTACACGCAAATGGTTTTCAATAAGATGCTTTTACAATGACAAAATGTTTTCAAAGTATAAACAATAACTTAAAACATAACAATATTATAATTGATATAAATCACTTTACTACGTTAAAATGGTTTCAATTAGAAGAATTAAGATAATAATGAAGTGACATTTATTCAGCAGGAAACTAGAATTTATGCTATGAGTTGAATATATTAAGTTATATTGTATATGTTCATCCAACTGAAAACATGTATGAAAATAAATGTTAGGAGTTATTTGATGATGCTTATAGGTTCATTTATATATAATTTAAAATTTTTGGAGCATTTAGAAAAAAAGAAGTCCCTTAGTAAGTTATTGTTAAATTTAGTTCTTAATAAAACAGAAAATCTAGTAATCGAAATTAAATTCAGTGAAATTAAAATCGTGATAACTAATTCAAACCTACCCTACTTTTATTCAAAAAATCAATATAAACCACTTTTTCTTGGTATTTTTGAAAAATAATACCAAATAACTCCGTTTTTGGGGATTTTAATTAAAATTAAAAAAAAATTTCCAAATAATAATTGCAATAATAAAGCGAATAAACCGAAATAATATGTTTATAAATTAACATATTAGTTGATGTTATTATTTATTAAAATCTAATGTGGAATCAATAATTCCAGCCAGCTTATAATCTATATGCATAACCTTAATAACCTTTATATTATCCTATATACTTCATTCCTGTAATAAATGGGAATTAGGGATATCCCGATGGAAATTTATGCAATTCTTTAACAACCTAACTAACCTAATAACCTCCTTAAATTGCTTCACAAGATGTACCTTTTTAACCTTCTTGTTCACTTTATAACAATAAATAAACTTAAGAATCTCTAGAAAGTGTTGATTCGATAGTTGTAAACAAAAAAACCAAAAATTCTTCTCAATCAAAAAATCTTTCATAAAAGTCTACAAATATTTAAAAAAATTATGCTAAAGCTATTGTATAATACGTATTAAGACAAAGGGTAGAAATACTCAAGTATTTGGGAGAAAAACAAGGCATTGAATTTTTAAAATTACTCACTTAATTAAAAAATAACATTAAAAATGTTAAACATTTAATTAGGTATACCAATGATGAAAAACAATTAAAATTATTTAGAATCTTATCAAATAGATTTCTTAAGAAAGAAGCGATAGGATATGCTTACAATTCGAATATTAAATCGGCAAGTTAACACATCTAGTATAGACATCTAATTTAACTTAATTTATAGAAATTTTGAGTTAAATTTACAACACAACCTTGATTCTTATCAATCATATATATATATAATATCTAATTTACAAATCTAATCACAAACTTTAAATCCATACAGGCTTTAATCTATTTGTTGTGTTTTTAGTATTTTACAATAATCAATTTTCGTTTTTGTTTCAACTTTTATTAGATTAGTTCATACCAATACTCAAATAGTATTAATAACTATTATTTTGAATATTGCCTATAATTTTCTAATATTGATGGGTCAAATTTTTCTTATTCATTGAGACATAAATATTTGACATTATCACTACAAAGTTCTAATACCACAACCATTTATGCTATTATCAAATAATCAAGAACATTTAATAATCACAATATAAATAATTAAATATATATTACAAAACTATGAAGATATTTCTTTTTAATACTAATAATTAGAAATAAATTTTTTATTATTAAAAAATATTAATTCTTATCATAATTTATTAACTTCTCAATAAATTATTTATTATTTATTTTCTTTTTATTATAGTAATCACGATCTTATGTTTATTAATTTATAATCTAAACTTTAAAATTGAATTGGAACTTCAATTACAACATAAATGAACCTTTACTACTAGTTTATTTAAATTTAGTTAATTAACAATGCATTTACAATTAAATTACAGTTTTTGTATAATTAATAACAATATTGGACCTTCTATTATTTAAGTGAAATCTCAACTATCCTAAGATTTACAAAACTGTAACTAAGTAGGTTTAAGGCTTTATCTAGTGATATAAACTATAACCTCTCTAGCTAAGTATTAAAATATAATTGGACTTATTTCATTCTAAACTTTAATGTTCATATCAAAGAAAAGTTGAAAGTTAAAGTTATTTTATTGATAGACTTTGTATATATATAAGATAATATAAATAAATGAATATTAATAGATTAATCGATTAATATATTAATTACATGAACTACAAGCAAAAAATTATGTTGAGTATTAAATATGTGATTTTCTCATCTTATGATTATTTTGTATTTCATTTATTTTCTATAGTAAACTTAGTTTGAACATCTTAATTATATTAATTGATTTTAGAAAGGCTAAGCTAAATAATATATATTTTAAATCAGGAATTTCTTGTTTTATACTATTCTTCAAATTTATAATAAGTTTAACACTTGAGAGTTCTAAAGCACTGAATTTTTCAGTATTATTCATTAATTAATTTTTAATTACTAAGCACTTCTGACCAAATTTCCACTTATTATAAAGGATAGGGGAGTCACAATGTATGTGGAATAACATTGAAAATCATTCTCTAGATCTTTCATTTATCCAATTAAAAGAGAAAAATAGTTTCTCACCTATTCTTTGATTATTATTTCTTTTTTTTTAATTAAGTTTATTTTTCATTCAAAAATGTATTACAGAGGTAAAAATAATAATTTTTGAAATAATTAAGCACGAGTAAAGGGAACCAAATTAGGGATCCTCTGACTAGTCATCTAAGCAAATTGACTTTATGCGCAATTCAAAATTGAAAAAATAAAATCATTAATATTAAATATTTTAGTCATTCATAATTTTCTAAATCCACATCTCTTTTAATACTCAACCTCATCTGTGTCTTCGTTGCTATTTACTGACTTCCTATTGAAATAATCTAAGCTATTTTCTTCTATCTGCTTCATATTTACCCACCTCTGGTCAACTTCATAAAAATAATAAAGGTATTCTGTGTAAGAGTTGTCATCCTCGTTGAATAAATAAAAGTTTTTGGATTTCATAAGAACAGGAAACCTTTGCCCTTAATAATTCACGAGTATCAATTGTCCAAACATCATGGCAGCATTGCATTTAAAAATTTGAGCTACAGTTTGACTCCATCTAGAATTCCCGTCTCCAGCAAAGGATTAAGGGAGCATTCCTGTCTAAAATACATAATCCTTAATTATTTCTTCATTGACTCCTATCATTTAGAGATAGGCATCATTCATGACCCTAGCTGATGTAGCAATGATTCCATTTTTATTTTGTTAGATGTATAATGTAAATGGGCCTTAGATGGTGTGTTCAAACTCAATAAGTTTTGCTTCAGTTACGATGTTGTATTTAGAGATGTCAGTATTTTTTTAATGAAATTATTCAAAGCCCTCAAACAAATCGGCTTCCTCCTTTATCAAAGCTTCCTTAATTATTTCAAAAGATGTGTATGGTCTTTGAATTGGTTCTAAATTAAAAATATGATAGCTATTGTATTTGTCGTACCTAGCTACTTTGTAATTATAAGAATGGGGATCAATGTTCAAAAATCCTAACTAATATTGAGATTCAACAATCTTAGGGAATTATATATTAGAATTCAATCTGAAGATGATATTTTGAGGAATGCATTGAGGTATATTTTAATTTATAACTATAATTTCTTTAAGTTAAGTAACATCTATGTTACTGCCAAACTTAAATTCTACAGTGTATTGATTTTTACGCTTTTTCTTATAAATTTACTTAGATAAAGCCACATTTTTTTCTTAATTTATTGTTTTCTATACATTCATAAAAGAAGACATCCCTGTATTATAAAAGTTATAATAATTATTTGTTTTTTAAAAGAAGAATAAATCTTTATAAATATGCATCAAATATGTAATTAATTACAGCAAAAATTTAAATTATTTCAAAATAATTAATAAGTTATCTTAATACATTATGTAATGAAAGATCAATTTCTTAGTAATTAACTGTTGTCTCAATTAAAGCTAATCAATGTAAACTCACAGATGTAATATTTAAAATTTAAGCTATTTAAATTTATCAATTTTAGAAATTTAAATAGCTTTTCTTTACAGAAAAGGAAGTATCAAGTATCTTAAGAATATGTGGTAATTCTAAAATATACGAATATATATTTATTGATGTATAAATGTAAACAATAATTATTTCATTCTTATCATTATTGTGCTCCACCAGCTTGTTTGCCAGCTCTCATAATCTAAAATAATTATATCTAAGTTTACTTCATCAACTAACAATAATTATTAAGCTAATGTGGGTGCAATGTTCAGCCATGATCTTTTGGAACAATAATTATCAAAAATGCCATTGGCAATTGGAGCAATGAATCCTTATTCATTAACACTCACTCCAACTGGAATGTTATTTTTGATAAATTCGTCTGTAACTTAAATTAGTGTTTCTTAAACATCATATCCACAATTTTCTGCTAAAGCTTTTGGAATAACTAATAATGACTCAGCAAATGCTTAGACTCCCAATTTAGCCTTTCCAGCAACAGAATCCTTAAACTTTTAAAGATGAACACTGGTAGCAATCTCAAAAGCACCAGCTCCAGGAATAACACATTTATCTTCAACAGCATTTTTAACAGCTCTTAATCCATCTCTAATAGCATCCTTGATTTAGGCAATAGTATGTTCATTTGGTCCTCTAATTAAAATTGTGCATGAAGTTGGATTTTATACTCCTTCAATAAAGGTATACTTCTCTTCTCCTAAGGTATATTCTCTTAACTAATTATAAAATAATATGATTACCACTTCACAATATCCAAGATCACTTTCTGACATATCTTCAACTGCATTGACTGAATTACCACCACAGGCCTTTGCAATTCTTTCCATATTTCTCTTTTTTGCTCTTCTGATACCAACAATGCCTTCTTTGGCAAACATCTCTAAACAGACTGGATCAATTCCTTTTTAATTGATAACTGCAAATCCATAGCCATTCTTCTCACAAACCTTTCTCTTGAAATCAATAATTTATTGACATTTGTCATCTGTCAATCTTCTTTCAGATCTAGCTAATTTCTCTCTGTCTTCAGCTGTGTTATAAAAGAATCCACTGTGAACCTATTTATGTATATATATAAATTACCTCAGTCTTCTCGTATTCCAATGAGACATTCAAATTTAAGATGTAGCATTTCTTAACAAATTTAGGCATGTCTGGATGTCTTGCACCATGGTCTAACACTAATCCTCTAATCAATTCTGTTTCTGCTCCCATCTTATGTTACATATGCATAATCTCAACCATAAATAAATCTATTGGCTTTTCAGGCACTTACACAATTTAAACTGCATCGACAACTATCTCGATAATTCTAAATATTTTCTTAATATAGTATATACTAATTTGCAACATCGGGTGTCAATTTGCTATTTAATGAAGTTCTGGCCACATTTATTAACACAGCTTTATCTATTTATTAGTATTTAAAGGTATCTAAAAATGATAGGGCCTCCTTTCTTGCAAGCTCAAAACCTTCTGTAATTACTCTTGGATGAATTCCCTCAGCCAATAATCTTTCGGCTTATTTCATTAATGCGCCAATCAATAAAACATTGCTGGTTGTACCATCACCAATTATATCATCCTAAGCTGTTGCACTTCTAGCTATCATAGCTGCTGTTGGATGCTATATCTACATCTCTGATAATAGAACAGCGCCATCCTTCGTAAGTTTTATTTATCCAGCACCTCCCACAAGCATTTTTAAGGTACCCTTTGGTCCTAAATTTGATTTCATGACCTCCATCAAACCAGCTGCTGCATTTATATTCATTGCTAATGCTTAATATTTACGAAGCACTTCAGCTTTAGAATTGACAAATTAGACACTACTCATTTTTTAATTAAAAAAGAAATTTAATTTTTATTTTTAAGATTTGTAATATGAAATCATTTATCTCAGCACTATTTGCCATTCTTAAATCTTCAAATATTTTATTTTCTTTTACTAATTTAAGATTTCTCAATTTAATTATTTATTTCTTAATTAATTTTCAATATCTCATTTAAGAAATTTGGATAAACATATCCTTTCATCTATTTCAACATAAGTTTTATGTTCTAAATTTCATAAAAACAGAATTATAGTCTTCAATTTTTAATTTTATAATTCATCTATGATGCTTAATCCTTCAATATGATTTTCTTACATAGTTGCTAGTTTCTAAATATTAAAGCAATCAGTTCATTTCTAAATTCATTAGTATTAATATATAATTTAGTCTGAATCCCTAATAATTGCATCTATTTAATTTTTATTCTTTTTGATTACTCTTAAAATATTTTATATTTACTCTTTTTATCTCTTATCATGCTTAGAAGAGAATATGCTTTATTAACATATATTTACTTCTCTTTTTATTTATAGATATATATTATACTTATTAATTAAATTATGATATAAAAGTTTGCATAATTAGCATAAAGAAAATCTATTCAAAGATTCTCTAACATCTTTGTTGCACATAGAAATAGAGATGACAATAGTGATTCAGTACCATTTGATTTCACAGATGAGAATTACAAAAAAATTGAAGCAATTTTGGCAAAATTTCCATCAAATGAGAAAAAATCAGGTACCATACCTTTACTTATGCTTGCATAAAAATAGAATAATAACTTTTTGAGTTTATCAGCAATGAAGAAGGTTTAATAAGATTCTAACATAATAGATTGCTAAAATTTTAGAGATCCCTGAAATGGATGTCTATGAAACAGCATCATTTTATTCTATGTTTAATAGAGAAAGAGTTGGAAAATTTCATCTTTAAGTTTGTGGAACTACTCCATGTTAACTATGCGGATCTAAAGATATAATTAAAACAATTGAGTAAAAGCTGAACATTAAAAATGGAGAGACAACTGCTGATGGGTTGTATACACTTCAAGAAGTTGAATGTTTAGGAGCATGTGCAAATGCACCAATGATGCAAGTTAATAACGAATGGGTATATGAAGATTTAACACCTGAAAACACTGTATATTATATTATAAATAATTTATAGTTAAAGCTATTAGAAGACCTCAAAAATGGAACAGATAAAAAGGGACCCTAAAATGGAAGAAAAAATGCTGAAGGCCCTTAGGGAAGAACAACTTTATAAAATATAGCAACTCAATAAGATATCAAATATGATAGAAATTTCGAAGCAGCCAAAAAAGAATGGTTAGATCAAAAAGAGAAGGAGAGACTTGAGGCTGAAAAGAAGAAGTAAGCAGCTCAATAAGCAAAAAAATGATGTTCAATTATTATAAACATAATAGAAGAAGAAAATTATTATATTTTAGTTTTCTTATTTACTAAGAAGCATTTTTTCAATAACTATTACCCATAAATTAATAAATTAAATCATCCAATTTGAATCACTTAAAAATAGTTTTTTTATATTTTAAGAAAATATGACATTGATTAAAAGTTTAAGTATTAATAAATTATTTAAGCAAAGCCATAATATTTAAATCTGGTTCAATTATTCAATTGTATTGAATTTAATTTTATATCAAGCTTATTTCTAATTGTAAAGACTGGGTTATAATTTAGCATCATCCATCATTTGCATAATTATTTTGGTTGTTATTATATAAACTCATTTAATATAAAAAAATTAAAAAACGGCATGAAGAGCCTTTTATTATTGCTATTTGTTGGTGTCTTGTGTCAGAATGAAGTTGATACAGTAGAAAAATTGTTGGCTGACTTAAAGGGAGCATCAGCTGTTGAACTTACAGCACTCAATACAGATTACACTGTTTCCAAAAATGTATTGAATGTAATAGAACTTTTAGCTGAAAGAGAATATCATTTTTAATTTGGGCAAAGCCATTTAAGAATAAAACTTTTTATGCGCTAGTCGAGATAAATCAGTTTCTGATAGAGAATCTGACATTGATAAAACAAATAAATTCATCGCTTATTTACAAAGGAGACTTGTTGATAATGCAAAAAGAGTAGAAACCCTCGACAATAACAGGTAGTTGATACAAATATAAATTAGATGCACTCATTCAACCAACTATATTGAGAGAGTTAAAAATGATAATATGACATTGAGACTTATAATATTTTTGAGAAATTCCTTATAAAACTTAGACAACAATTAATTAAACAGATATGGAGCATACGTCGAGAAATTCTTAACAATGTATAAATCTGCAAAAATGTCAGAACTTGTAGAATTAGCTCATGAGTTTGCTGATACAATGTTCATAGATTGGACTTAAGTGACCCCATCCTCCCAAGGAAATATCAACACAGTTAAAGGATAATTGATTGAAATGCTTGATGATATGGAGAGGTACATTAGAGAATAAATTAAAAATTCTTAAAATTTAGAAATCACAACTGGAGTCACATTGGCTGACTTTAAGGGAGCAATTGATATTGAGAACGAATAGATCAATTACGACCTTGCATCTGAAGAGAAAAATATCATTAAACTCTAAGAACAATTAGTCTAGGCTAGATTAGCTGCAGTAAATTGCAGAGAAAGAGGAGTTGCTATACAACAATAATAATAAAGAGCAATTGAAGTATCTCTAAAATAAAATATGGATAGGACTTAAAAATAGAAGAGACCTAATATAATAAAAATAAAGCTAGATTACAAGAAGAACTTAACTTATTCACTGATGTATACAGAATCTATTCTACCTAAGTTGGAACATCTGAAGACAAATTTAAATAAAGAGTTGATGACTATGTAAATGACAAAGTAATATACTTAGTTTTATTTTAGTAAGTACAATCCTATGAGAGATCAGAATACTCATTAAGCGATGCAGTAAGGAAATAAGTCTAACATGAATGATTTATCAATTCAATTTAATAATATATAGATGAATAACACAGTTCAATAATAATTTTATAATATAAAAAAAAATGAGCCTAATCCGTTTTAATTTGTTGATTATGACTATAGGAGTATGCTTTTCAGCCATGACACCTTAAGCCTCGTTATTGATGAAGTCATTCCACTAAGTATAAACAAGTATTGAGTCTTGTAGTTTGGCTAAAGTCCCTATGGTGATTAATTAAAAGAATTGGTGCAAATCAAATTGGAGACAGGAGCTTAAGTTGATGAAGTTTTGAAACTCATACAAGAATTGTTAGATTCATTGAAATCTGATTAAGTTGATGATGATGTTGAACATTCAAGATAAATGACAGTTTTCGATTAAAATATTAGTGAATTGGAAGATGATCTCTCCAAATTAAATACAGATTTGGCAAATGCAAATGTTCTCATTTAAACCATGGCTGAATTATTGGTCATTTTAAGAGAAACTATTATTACATATGAAAAACAATTGTCTATTCTAAATGAGCAAGAATAATTCATTAGAAATGCCAGGGCTGCTGATGTCAAAGCTTATAACAGAAGAGTTGAATCTGCAAATAAAGTCATTAATGCATTAAATCTCATTATTCAAAAACTAAGCAAAGCTGTTGATGAATAAACTACTGATGAAAATAGATAAGCCATATTAGCTTAAATTCACAGTGAATGTCATGAACAATTCGGACCAAATCATCCAATCACAATTTTGGTGAAATTAACAACCAGATTTGATGTTCCAACAGTTAAAAGAATCTTAGAGAAATTAGAGTAAATTAGAGATGCAGCTACTAAAAGTTTAAATGAAGATATTGCAGCTGAAGAAGTGGCATCTACTAATTTTGATAATTCCATGTCTGAAATTGAAACTTTGAGAAAGAGATTATCTACAGATCTTGAAAACTTAAATCAATAATTCAATGACAAATTTAATTAGCAAGTAAGAACCATAAGAATTATAAATAGAAAATTGTTTTGGCTTAAAAAGAACAACTTTTAATCGATATTCCCATCACAGAGGAATTACTTCAATTAACAAAGGAATAATAGGAATAATATCATTAAGCATATATTAGCAGATAAACTTAAAGGTATTGTTTTTTATTTGATTTAAATTAAGACTTTCTGAAATTGATGTTGTCTAAAAAGCCTACAATCTAGTATTCGACCATGTAGATTCAGTAAAAAAATCAGAAGACCTAACAGCTAAACTAAGTAGTTGATATATATAATAATCAATAATAAATTAAAGAAGATAGTCAATTGTTTATCTTTCAAACTCCTTTCTTTTAATAAATAAAAAAAGTATTAGGAATAACATTCATTTCTGTTAATTTAGAATTTAATACTAAGTTTTATACTTTAATTAGAATATTTACGTTGATATCAGTAAATAGCTAGGAATAAATGAAATTGAAGACCCAAGATTGAAATATGAAGCAAATGAAGATTAAATAATTCAGTTTTGTTATAAATCTAAATTTAATATTTTAACAATTATACTGATTTGCATAAATTCGTTTTATATTAATTTATTAAAATATGTAATAATAGAATGATGACCAGATTCCGTTGAACATACCATAAGAACAATACAAATTGCCAGAATAACTCGATGGTACTGAAATTATGATTATGCAAAGAATTTGGTTAGCCAGTAATGTTCAAGTGCAGCACTTGTGGAGTTTAAGCTGTTTCTATATTGCAACATAAACCGGGAACTCATACATGGTTATGCTGTTTCACACTTTGCATTTTTGGAGCATTTTTAGCATTCCTGCCATTTTATGTGAAAGATTGCCAGGATGTTACACATGTATGTCCTGCCTGTAGTCAACCAGTATTATTATTGAGATTATTTAATAGAAAGGAGTTAAACAATTTAAAGCGTGTTGATGAAATAAGACATATTATTATCCAAATCATTTATATTAAATTATAAAACCTATGTCCACATATTCATTATATCCTGTAATGCATGAGGCGAATACATTTGAAATATTTTCGATGCTTTTATAGATAGGGCTTGATAGAGCCAACAATACTAAGACAATTTAGCAGAGACTTAATCAAACTGAGCATATTAAAACTCCAACCGATTTCTTGTCATTTGTCAATGTTAATGAGAAATGTCTATCTCAATCACTTAAATAAGAGAAGTAAAGAGTTGAATAGGAATTTGCACTGATTGAAATGTTGGTGCCAAATAAATCGAAAACACATTTGATGTATGAGGTTTGTAATGATGAAGGTCTTTCTATCATTTATCACTAAAACTAATAACTTAGTGGTTACCTCAATTCCAAGTGAAGGTGAACTTATCTGGGGAATTTCTAGATATTGCAGAGCTATATGGTCAGTTTTTTATTGCATCTGGAATGAATCATAGATTATAATAAATACAGGCGATTAAGAAGAATAATTTATATGATAAAGTAATTAAAGGATGATTAAGTTTAGATTCCCTTTATGCCTCTCCTGATGAAATGGCTACATGAATATTGCAGATCATAATTTAATAAGTTATTTGCTTCCCTCTACGAAGCAATCTCATAAATGAAATCCAACTATGTACTAAATAATATTTTGATGTTTATGTAGAGATAAATTGTGAGTAAACCAAAAGAAGAGATATTTTCTCCTAGAGTAAATAAAATGCCAATAAATAGACCTACTTCATGTATTATTAACAAAACAAGGAGCATTAGTAATTACAGTATTCGTAAAACTTCACAAGTTGTCACAAAACGCAACAATAATTAAGCAGTCTCTAAATTAATAAATTTAATTTCTGATGTCATTGATATTGATCTTACTCATTATGACTAACAAACTCATAAAAAAAAAGAATAAATCTTTAATAGTCTTTGGAGCAAAAATTTTCATGTGAGAAGTACTCATGAGAAATTCTAGTAATAAACATATGGGATTCAAAAACCTTAAATATAATCCCATTTTTTCAGTGCTCAAAACAAAAGACCAAATAGTTTTTTTAAGCATTCATTTCATATAGATAATAATCTTAGTTTATTTTGATAAATAGTTTTGTTTTATGTTTTTTTCGTATTTATTTAATATAATAATCATTATTTAAGTTGAGCTCTTAGAATCTGATTTTCCTATAAAACTTAGTCTAATTTATCTTTCCTTTGCTGTTATTCTTAGAAGTATCTGATCTACTCTTTGAGTGTTCCAATTTAATTAGCTTAGATGCCTGCTTCTACTTATAACTTTATTAATCAATATTATACATTCTATCTTTTTTCAATTTCATCTCTACATAGAGCCTAAACATCCTTATATTATTATTGGATATGATGAATTTCTTATTTTAAGTTATCATTGATTTCTAATAACTTCTCCAGATCTTCCTTCTATGATTAATATTTGATTTATTGATTTTATAACTATTTTATTTCTTCCTCCAACAGATGAATATTTTACTATGATGATATTTATTCACTCTTAAACACCTTACTCATTTTATCCTTTTCTTCTAACATTTCATTGATCAGCATTTTCTTATCCTACAATTAACTTTTAAGAACTCTGATTTCCATGACTTATTAATCTACTAATTTCTTTATCTAAGATTAATCTTCCTATTTTTAATATTGAAGATTATACTTATTTTTATTTAATATCCTAATACTCCAAATTGATGATTTCTAATTCTTTTTTTTGAATATTAATTTATTCAATCTATGAGGCAATTTATTTTTCTAACTAATTAATTTATTCTTATCTGCTGTCCAAAGAATTTTAGAATCTGATTTTCATATTCTCAAGAATTTATTCTGATTGCTTTTTTTACAAATCGATTTGTTTCGTCAAGAAATCATCTAATTTAATATATTCTAATTATGCTCTTTCTAATTGTTCTCCCAATCTTCTGCATTCCTTTATTAATTATTCCTTAGTCAATTACTCATCAGAAATGTTAGGAGTTTTCTTCATTTTCTCCAATTACAATTGATTCTTTATATCCTTCTCTTGATTCAAAAGTTCATTATTCATCAACTAATACATTTTCATTTCTTCACTTATTCTAGTATTCTCTTTAATTAATTCTTATATTTTAAAGTCATATTAGCTTAATAAATCCTTTATGGAATCATTGTCCTTGATTAAAGTATTAAATTTAACTTATAAACTTTCAAGTTCGATTTCCTTTTGGTTAACTTAATCGAAAGCATTCTTCTATACAATATTAATTTTATTAGAAATTAACATAATTTAATTTCTAAGCTCATGATTGTTATCTTCATAACTACTTAATTAAGAGGATAGCTCAACAATCTTCTCCAAAGCTTCTTTATGTTATGAATTCATTCTAACAAGTTCTCTGCTAATATCATATTCTCTTTCTTAACATTATTTGAAATTCTATTGCTATTACTCAAACAAATCTCTAGCATTACTCAATTCAGTTTCTAAATTGTTGATCACTTCGTCATTTTGATTTCTTCTCATATCTTCCAAATGTGTAATCAATAGATTATTCTCATCCTACAACGATTATAGTTAAAACTTGAGATCTTAAATTTCATCATTAATTTATGTTTTTTAATTCTAAAGAAAGTGCTGCATTTCATTAGTCTTCACATCTAAGTGTTTCTTAATAACTAAATTGTCATCAATTAATCTTTCGACCATTGTAGTCAATTCAACAATATCATTAGCTTATTTGAAACATTCATGTTTTAATAGCTTATTTTCATCTGTGAGTGCAGATAACAAAGGTGATATTTTAGCAGGGTCAATTAATAAATTTACATTCTCGAATTAGTATTATTTCCATTAAGCTAATTTCGTATATGCAGTTATTGGTGCTTTTTGAGAACCCAAATAAGCTATGTATTCAGCATATTTTTAATTGGTCTTAAAAACATGTTCAGGAGCTTTGTTTGGATCATCAATTAAGAGTTTCGATAGATATTATGCTGAAGGTCCTTTAGATTACATTATTTTTATTTTAAATTTAACATACAAAACATTTTCATTTAACAGATTAATTTTCTCCAAACTTTTCTTCAATCCATCTCATTGTGATAGATCCTGGTCTTTCAATTGGTAATCCAAAGGCTCTAGCCCAAACTAAGTTTGCAGTGCATCCAAGTGCTCTTGAAACGGCAAACACAACTGTGTAATATTCAAATTCTTTCAATCCATAATGATTTAATAGAACTCCTGAATGTGCATCAACATTGGGCCATGGATTTTAAATCTTTCCTATTGTCTTAAGAACAGGTGGAATAACATGGTAACATTATTTAACAAGCTCAACAAGTGGATCATCTTTAATCAATCTTTCAGCAAAATTCTTTTAATGAATATATCTTGGATCAGTATATCTTAAGACAGCATGTCCATATCCTGGTACTACTCTTCCTTCTCTAATGGTATTTAAGACATATTCTTAAATCTTTTCATTTGAAACTTTATCTCCTAATTTTTCCTATTATTATAATTATATAATTTTACTCTAATTTCAATCAACCATTTAAGAACTTCTTAATTTGCTAAGCCATGAAGAGGTCCAGCCAAACCATTAATACCAGCTGAATATGACAAGTATTGATCAGCCAAAGCAGAACCAACTAAATGAGTAGCATGGGCACTCACATTTCCTCCTTCATGATCTGCATGAATGCTTAAGTACATTCTAAATAATTCATAAGCATTAAATTGATCGAAACCCATCATATGCGAGTAATTGGCTGCCCAATCTAATGAATTATCACTGCTAATCAAATTTCCATTCTTTTTTATATATTATTTTTATTTACTTTATATTTATGTCTATAAATTAAAGCTGCAACTCTTGGGAGTTTGGCAACCAAGTCCATTGCATCTTCATAATAGTATTCCCAATATTATGGTTTAGTGGCTTTTCCGCTTTCATAAGCCTATTAAAATGTTGAATCCTTTTATAAGTATAAGACACTCTAAGACAACATTGTCATTGGATGTAGTTGTTTTGGAAGACTTGTGATGAATTTTACGGTCTCTTAGTCTAATTCTCCTCTTCTCTTCCATTCTTCTTAAACAAATTTAAATTCTTGATCTGAAGGGAAATCACCTGTCAATAATAACCAAAATAAAGCTTCAGGCAATGGCTCATTACCATTTTTGGCTTTCTAGAGGTATTCCTAAATTTCTGGAATATTGTAATCTCTGAATGTGATACCCTATCAGTAACAATAAAAATTACGGTTTTTGAATCCAACAATGAAATATCATAAAACAAACCAAACACATTTCTCATTCCTCCTATGGCTTAATCTACAGTCACTTTGCAGATTTCTTTCTATCCATATTACTTTCTAATGTCTCTTAATAAAGCTTATTTGATTGGTATAATCTCTCTCAACCTTTCTTTCAAGAGGTTGGATGAATGGAAAATGCTTTTGCTATTGAATGATCTATAAATTTGCTACATTTAATATCAATATTTAATTATTTACTAAATCTATTTAAATTATATCTTATGCTAATATTCTTAAAGTGTGCAATTAATCAGCGCATTATTAGTTAACATAAATTAAATAACAGTTTATTTATAATATGTATTTAATTGTAATTTATTTCTTTTAAAATTGCTTCTATTATTAGCTATAAAAATTTTCAGGATCTTTATAATTTTAATTATCATTATTGCTTTTATTAAGAGAAGTAGCCATAAAATCAAAGATTTATACTTGGTATTTAGAATACAATTATTAATTCATTTGCTACATATATTTGATTTGGCAAGAAATATTAATTAAAGTGGCATAATTTGTTAAAGAGAATTTATATGTCCAAAAATTTAGATGAAGAAGTCAAATTTTTCAACGAACACTTATCAGGTTCTAATTAGAAATTGAGCTTATTGAATTTAACTTTAACAGTGCATTTTTCATCCCAATTCTAAGGATAGAAATTTATTTTAATATACTTAATCTGTTGTGAGTAGCAAAATTGAAATTAGAATAAAATTATTAAAAATCAATTCCAATTTATTAAAAATGATAAAATTTAACGTGAGCTTTGATACTTATTTTATGAAAATATCTTCTAATTTTTAAAGTATTTGAGTATGAAATGGACCAGTATGTTATTTGAAATACAAAAGATAAGTGATCTGCATTCAAGAAATTGTGTAAGTGAATTCTATTATTTGTTTGGCTTCACAACGATCTTTCTATTTGTTATCCCTTCTAATAATAATATTTTTGGATCTCTAGGTTTATACACAAATTGATTATCTTTCTAAACTCAGATTAAAACATTATGTATTTAATATAATTTTTGATTTGAACACTTACACAGAATATTGATTCTGCTTTAATTTCTCATAAAGTTACACTCAACTTTCAATCTATAATTTAAGCACCATCATAGTAAAAATTCGATAAGTATTGTATAGGTTTTGATTTAATTTTACAACTATTAACTCTTATCAAAATATTTTTAGATCACATTTTTATTTGATATCACTTCAATAAATTTTAAGAGGTTCTCCAATGTGTATCATTGTAGCAAAGTCTCTTTTATCATCAAATACAATATAAAAAAATTATTCATTCCAATGTTTTAGAATGAATTTCTACTTCCAATTGCAATGATATTTTCTACTTCATTTAGAGGTAGTACTTGAGTAGATTAGGAATTCTGCTGTTTAAGATACGGAATTGCTCACAGTTTCTGTTTCATTTCTACATCTTTTGTTAATATATTTTTTTAAGGCTTTCGATCTAATATATGCTTTGCATTTTTCTTGGAAATAAGTAGATTTATATATATATCAATATCCTTTAATTATTTAATCATATATCTGAAGTAATGTTGAAGGGTTTGGCATAATTTGGACTATTTAATTATAAAATATATAATTATTTATTAAGATGACGAGATATTAAATTTGTAATATAAATTTTTATAATAATTATTTTAGGATATATATCTTAAAAAATATTAAAATCTGCTTTTAATTAATTATAATAAAAAATCAAATGGATACACAAGCCTACTCCAAGATTTCAAATGCTGCTTTAATTTAAGAACTGTATAGGAGATATAGATGTCAAGAGGAAGCATTGAGAAAAAGAATTGTATTATTAGGAATGCCAGGAGCAGGTACTTAATGCAATTAATTCATCCTAGGTAAGGGAACACATTCAGCTAAAATGTTGGCTCGTTTCTGTATGTGCCATTTGTCCACAGGAGATTTATTGAGAGAGGAAGTAAGATCAGGAAGTGAATTCGGAAAGAAACTAAAAGGAATTATGGAGAGAGGAGAATTGATTGAGGATGAAGTTATGTGCAATCTCATCAAATAACAATTAGCCAAGTATGATAATTTTGTTATGTAAGACCTGCATGTGCTAATGGTGCCATTTTAGATGGATTTCCTCGTACTATTCCTTAAGCTGAAAAACTTGATTAGATTCTCAAACAAAGTGGATAATCAATTGATTAAGCAATATTTATGAATGTGCAAGAACAAATTGTTGTTGATCGTCTTGGAGGCCGATGGACTCATTTGAATTCAGGAAGAACTTATCATTATAAATTCAACCCTCCCAAGGTTCATGGAGTTGATGATGTTACTGGTGAACCTTTGGTTTAGAGGGAAGATGATAAAGAAGCCACAATCAGAAATAGATTACATGTGTATTAGACTAAGACATCTCCTATTATTGATTATTACAGAAAGTAACTAAAAATAAATATTAATTTTAGAAAAGGAATTCTATTTGAAGTAAATGCAGAAAGACCTGTAAATGATATTTGGAAGGACATCAAAACCATTGTCAAAACCAATTGATTTCATCTAATTTAACTTATTTTTTTTAGTGCTTTGCAATTTCTAATTAATAATTAATTATATAATAATATATGGTTAAAATCGTATAATCAGGCAAATTGCTTAAATCAAGACGTCTAATTAGGTTAAAACTAAGTAAACTATCTTTGTAATCAAAATAAATTGGTGTTGATAAAAAAGAATAAGAAACAAAATAGGTTCAAATTATAAATGAGGATTAATTTATTTCGCACATTGAACCAATTAAATAGTTATTGCCATTTTATTAAGGTGGTAAGATACAAATAACAAATAATGTGATATATACCTGTTTCAATTTTTGTGTACAATACCTTGATAAAAAAATTTAACACAATCAAGAAGAAATAGCAAATTTTTGTGTGAGCAATCTAAATGATTATATTGCAACATTTACGAAGAATTATATGCTTAGATATGTTAGATTGAATGATCATATCACCTAATTTACAATAAAAACAGAGCCTCTATTTGCCATTGATATGCAATTCAGTCCAGAAGATGTTTACTTGGCTTTAGGTGGTACAAATTGCATGGTCAAAATTATAAATGTTAAAAAGAACTAACAAAGCACTGAATTTAGAGTAAGTGGAAGTGTTCTTAAATTATAATGGATTCCTATTATGAGGAAATTGTAATTGGCTATTGCTACAGATGACAGACGCATCTCATTATTTGATTTGGTAGCTAACAGAATACTTTGTGGTTTTGTTGACTTTAATAGTAGGATCACTCATATTTAGTTTAATCAACACATGTTGGTTTCAAGTTGTAATAAATATATTAAATTTTGGGATACTAGTGTATAAAAATTGACTGAAACTGTAGAATTTGAGATTGAAATTGAAACATTCATTTATTTCAAAAATACCTTAATTATAGGAACTGAGTCTGGAGATTTGCATATTAAATAGTAAAACAAGAAAATTGTGGTTGATTAGCAGTTTAATGGGTAATAAATATTGAAGTTTATGAATTGCAATGAAAAATTGTATATTGTTACAAGTGAACTTCATATCTATGTAACTGAATTAGTTTCTGGACAAATTTAATAGCAAAAATTATTATTGGGATATAATGATGAAATATTACATGTTAAGTTTATCAAAAATAATCAATTACTCTTGGCAACAAATTCACCATTTATGAAGTAAAATTAAATAAATAATTTTATAGAATATTAAATTTAGATAACTTAGAAGTCATTGCTTGGAAGGCTCATTACAGTGTAATCATGTGTTGCGAATTTATTGATGACCTAATAGTAACAGCCTCCAAAGACAATTGTGTCATTATATTCAAATACAAAGGATTCAAACAGCCAATAGAATTGCACAAATATAGTGGTCATTCTGATGATGTTATCTCTATCGATGTAAATTCCAAATATATTGCTTCTGTTTCAAAAGATAAATCACTTAAATTGTGGGATTTAAAGAATTATCAATCTGAATAATCTCTAAAAACTGTTGTAGCTCATGAAAAAGAAATGAATTGTGTTCGATTCTCACCAAATAACAAACTTATTGCCACTTCTTCTTAAGATAGACTTATTAAATTATGGGATGAAAATCTAATGAATAAAATGATACTTAAAGGTCACAAGAGAGGAGTTTGGGATATATAGTTTTCACCAATAGAAAAAATATTGGCTTCTGCAAGTGGAGACAACACTATTAAACTCTGGAATCTTAGTGATGGTTCTATAATTAAATCCTTCTAAGGAGTTGCTCCTCAACTAAAAGTTTCATGGCTTGCTAGAGGTTCCGAATTAATAAGTACTGATTCCATCGGTAATATTAAACTATGGAATGTTAAAAAATAAACATGTATTAATACTTTCTCACAACACACTGGTAAAATTTATGCTTTGGATATCAAGAGGGAAAATTAAGATATTTTCATAGTAACTGGAGCAAATGATTCTAATCTAATTTTATGGAAAGATAAGACAGAACAAGTAACTTAGCAATAATAACTATAATAACATGAAATTAAAATAAAATTGCAAACATTTCAAGATTTTATGAGAGATAAATTATATTTAGATGCAGCTTTTATTGCTTTTCAGAATAATTATATTAAGCATTTCATTTAAGCTGTCACTGAAATATATAAGTAAATATTATATTTATTTAAGGCAAGTTGATTATGACAATGTAGTGTCTATGTTATCATAAAAAATGGTCAAAGAGGATTTATTAAAATTTTTATAATTGTTGATAACACTTAATTAAAGCAAGAAAACATATTAAGCAGCATAACATTTATTCTATTATTCAATTAAATTAATAAATGTAAATGAATTTAAAGATGAAAAAAGAGAGTTAGTGAAAAAACTACTTTAATAATTAAAATATTTGACATCCAAATGTTTTGATAGATTGGAAAATAATTATTCTTCTTAGTTTCTAATAAAATTCATGATAGATAAGTCCAAAATTGTTGTTTGATTAATGATGTTTATTATAAAGTATTATTTTCAAATTTTCTTTATTTCTTTAATGATTTGCTGTAGACAAAATATTGTTTCATTTTAATTAAAAGAAGTTTTAAAGTTATTCTTATCCTCTCCTTTCAAAATCATTTGCAACAATACCTGAAGATAATTCAATAAAGTATCTTTTAAATTACTCTAATACTTAATTGAACTAACATAAGAATCTAAATCTATTGCAGGATATCTCATTTTGATTTGGTTTATTTATTTTTTCTATAATTTCAATAACATTTAAAGCTAATTTATAGATTTCTGTAAGCCATCATTACGTTTGCTATACATTACATATTCATTTTAAACCTCTAAAATTTCTTTTAATAAGCTTTTATAATAATGAATGGCTTACTTCTCGGATTCCTATTGCAATTCCTCTTTTCTACTATTAAATTATTGAGTCTGTTCTTATAACTATTTTGTCTTTTCTTACAAGCATTTCCAACTTTCTTTTGGAGACAAACTTCGATAAGTTACAGTAGATTAGGTCTCCTTCATTAACTTAATAGTTTGATTGAGTCTCTTTTTAATTTCTTAGGTTTTTCTAACTATTGAATATTGCTTTTGATTCTGAATTTGACTTAAATTCAAATTAGGGATTGGAGTATATATTCTATTTTAAAAGGTTTGCTTTTCTGTAATTAAAATTCCACCACTTTACCCATACCAATATAATTCTTCAGTATTTCTAATCTCAATTCGTTTATCTTAAGAAATAACATAAAATGTGCCTATTTGAATATTGAAAACTTGACTAACTTCTTGAATGAATTAATCTAAAGGCATTAGTTACCACTAATATGTTTCATTAGTTTTTTCATAAACAAGTTTAATTTCTTTTTATTTCATAATATGAATGAATTGATTAGCATTAAAAGTTTAGACAAAATACTCTATCAAAGATAACCTTAAAAACAGAATTCATGTACCCCAACAACTCTTTTTACACCAAACACCTCTCCGAATTCTAGATTAAGAATACTAAGCCCAACAAATAAACTCGATTCAAGGAATAAATTCAATCAATCTCAAACTCCCACTCAATAATTTAAAACTATGGTTAAAAGAGATGCATTGAAAAAGAAAATGAACCTATTAACAGCAAAGTTATAAACAAATAAGACTGAAATCATCAAAGAGGAGAATGCCTTTAGTGACAGATTACTGATAACTAGTTTCGAGAATTTCGTTAATGAAACTGATCAAAAATTATAGAATATATGTACTTGGATTAATAAATCGCCTTAAAATATTTCTAATTTACAGCCTAAAATACCCATAAATGAGGAGCAAGTAGAAAACTTTGAGAAGAAAATCATAAAGTATTATATAATATTAATATAGAACTAAGTAAATTTTATAAGAAAAGAGAGAATAATTAAAATATGCCAAATAACAATATTAGTCTAATAAATAATTATTGCAATAACTGAAATTCGAGTTAGATTAACTCAATGAAGATTAAAAAATACTTGAAATCAGTACTACTAATAGATCTTTGAAGGATGAAATAGTTTAAAATAGATAAAATCTAATTAAACACAAGCAGATGTTATTAAAAGTGGATTAATTCATTTCTAAGAATTTAAAAGAACAATTGTTAACTGAAGATTGCTAATTTGGACAATACATCAACAAATTCAATAATATCTTTATGTAAATGATCATAACACTTGATTAATAAATCTGAATATATAATTTAAAATTTACTATATTTATAAAAATAATGAGTCTAAATTTTGATATAAACTTTAAGGCATAGCAGCAACATTCAAAAGCTGAAAGGGGCACAATAACTTTTGAGAATAATAAGGAGAAGCAATTTATCATTTAAACTTGGAAAGGATAGGTTGTTAAAAAATCAAAGTTAAGTTGTCCAAAGGATAGTTTATTTATTCCAAGTATAAATGCGAAAAAATAAATTCTTTTTGATCATCAGAAATCTATCAAACTTGCTTCTTAGCGTTCTACTTAAGAATCAACTGAGAAAGGCTTATTTAATGATAAATTCATCAATTAAAATCAAGAAAGAGCTAAAATTTTGCAAAAATTATATAACATACGTCTGCAAAATGTAATGATGAAGTAAAAAAATAAATCATCAAATGATGTATACATGGAATACTTATAGGAATAGAATATAAGTGTTGATACTTAAAAAGTAATGCTAAGTGAGAAATTAAGATAGTATTCATATAATTTATAAGCAAAGCTGCCAAAATGAAATAGATTAAGTAAAATAATGCTTAATGAAAGATGAGATAAACTTATAAGAAAAGCAAAAGGAATTAGAGGGTTTGAAATAACAATTAAAATTGGTTAAAGATTCGATATTATAAATAAAAAATTAAAATGTAGACCGAACGAAAGAAATAATTTATAAAATGTAAATAAACCAGGCCAAAGAAAAATAATTACTTACTTAAATTGTTCAATATATTGAGTTTTTGTAAGATTAATATAGCAATCATTTGTATGAATTTAAAGATTACTTACTATAATTAAGACTTAATGTTAATTAAATAAGAATGGATTAAGAATATGATATAAACTAATGAAATATTATTACACTAATATCAATTGTTAAAATACATCTCATATAATAACAATTACTCTTTTATTTTGTGATTCCATTTTTTTTATAAATAAGTATCAAAGTAATGGTTAGTTTGCTCATCATAGTCTTTTTCAATTTTTAGAAAAGTTTTTAAATTTGTGTGAAAGATGGATTGAATTTCATTTGAATGGTTATCTGATTTCAAAATTCCAAGTTGTTCAATTTGTCTTTTAAATTCCAAAGCACATAAGCATCCAATCAAATAATGGCCTGTTTCGTGTTCTAGCAATTCATCATCGGAAGTAGATTTAGCCCAAGATTTTTCAGAGAATTTGCAAAAGACTTATAATTTAATCTTCTAACGAGCTGGTGATTGTCTTTTTAGACTTGAACTAGAATTGCTTCGAGCAACTTTTTGTAAAGGAGAAGAATTCTTGGGTGTTGATAAGCGAGTTATTCTCTAAACACTTGAAACTCTTGTCGAAGGAGTTGGAGGCTTATTGAAGAGTCGATTATTAATTCTTGGTAGTTGATCGTTCTATTGGAGAGGCAATTTGGGTGGTAATTTAGGGGATGATTATCTTATACCTTATTGTTCTGAAGGCTCAGTTATTTTTCTGAGAGGAATTAAAGGTGATTTCTTAATATCTTGAGGGGTGTCTTTAGCTTAAAGTTCATTTTATTTTTATGTTGGCAAAATTGGAGATTGTTATTGTTTGATTAAAGGTTCTTCTTTTTCTTCAACCATTTAATAATCGTATAGAATATTCCAATAACAATGAGCAATCCATGGCATTTCTTCATTTGGTTTGCCCACAAAATCAACCCATTCTAATCGTTTGATTTCAAAATTTTAAATTTTGAGTGGCAATATATCTCTTACATATTTATCATTTTATGGATCTAGTAAATATTCCATTTCATATTATGGATTTTTAATATTTTTCAAAGAAATAAATCCTCCAAATGAGATATCTGACATGATGTATGCAATTATTTAATTAAAATATAGGATTATGTTTAAATAAAAAGTAAAGGAGATTATTGATAAAATATATTTAAATCGATTTTATTATTATTGATTATAATAAATCAAATCTCTGGAAAGGTAATTTTCTTAATTTTATCGATGCAGTTTTCTTCCCCATTCTTTTAAACCTAAAAGAATCCTTCCATTCCCCATTGTGATCCCCAAGAATTTTTAACAAACCATGTTTGTGTATCATAAGCTACGAAGACCACTACATGTTGATAATTGGAGACTTTAGGATAATTACAAGTATTAATGATTCCAGACTTATATCTTAACCAACTTTCATCTGCATACATTAATGCTGCTACAGGTCCATCTTACATAGCAGTTTCAATATCATCATTTGTAAATTTGGATAATCCTTCAATTGATTTAAATTGTTTATATCCAATACTTCCCTTTGGTTTTGTGCATTCATCTTCTTTTTAATCATATTCTCTATAATCTTTTTCGTAAACTGTTCCATAATTGTTGATAAATTCAAATGCATCTCCAACGGATCCTCCATCACACCCTGCAGTATTACCATCAGCACAATCAATTAGATGAGTCTTTGATAATTAATCGAGCTTATTTTTATTTGCTATCGATAGTCTACTGATAGTGACATCAGATACAGCAAATGCCCAACAACTACCACATCTTCCTTATTGTTGAACTTCAGTGATCTTAATATAATTGAAAGTGTAATTACTTATTTTAACCAATCTAAACTAGGAGGATTCTTAACGGCTTCTTCTACTTTTGATGATGCAGCACTTGTTGCTTTGACAACTTTTTTAACAACAACAACAGTTTTATCAGCCTGTAAAAATGAATTGTGACTCAATGCGTCAGAGCGGATTGCATCGAGGTCATTTTCATTAAATAAATCATAATGAGTTTCAAAATCTCTCTTCATAAATATCTTTTCCACTAACTCTTCATTGGTCTCATCTGCAAAATTGTTTAATCCCCAAACATCCTTTGGTAATTACTCGTTGTGGTGCTAAAAGAGTAATCTAAGTTATCAAATACCTTCATGGCTCTATAGTTCTTTACGAAGACTTCCATTCTATAGATCATTTCGAATTCGTTATTATATGTTCTCTAATTTTCTTTCACCCAATTTTAAAAGGTCTTCTATTCAACTTCTTTCCAACCATAAACAGATCCATTCTCATGTAAGGCTGATTCCAAGTTCGTAGTTGAAAAATCAGAACAAACTACAATAGCACTGACACATAAAATAACGATTATTTTCATTTTATTTAATACAAATATTTTGCCGTTGACACCAATATCAGAATCCAGTTCGAATTAAGTAAAAAAACGATATTTATATTCAATTATCAAATAATTTACGACTAAAACCACAATTAAAAGAATTTGACATTAGATATTTATCATCTCAATGTTGTTGATAAATTTCAATAAAATAAAGTAGAAAATAAAAATTTTAATATTTTTAATATAATTATGGATATTCACAATAGGAATAAATTGTTACTCGATCTTAAAACGAGCTTATTTCTCCCTCCCTTCAATGAAGAATTGTATTCAACCTGCACCACAGATCATCAGAAATCGATCAAAGAAATCTAAGAAATTTATAAGTAATCACATTCTATCAAGACTTAGACTTCGTAATGATCCAGAATTAGCCGATAAGATTAAACCCATCATCCAATTAAAAATAAAGGATGTGGAAAGAACTAAAAGGGTTCAATTAGCATATTTAATGCATAGAGTAATTATGATAATTAAAAATAGATTAACAAAATATAGTCTTAGTACTTTGTGGATTCTGGTCAATTGAGTAGTGATCATATCGATCAGCTTTCCAAAAATGAAAAGGATTACTATAAATTTTTTGATCAATTAGTCAAAAAGTATGAAAATGACATAGAGACCAAAGTTAGTTAAGTACATTTGAATTGTTTACAAATTTTAGAATATATTGCCGCCATCAGAAGTATTTATTGAAGTGAGAGTGATAAAATAAATTGGAAATATCATTACACAAGATGGGGATGAACTTGATTTAGAAGAAGGAACACAATAATTAGTGAAGAAATCAGATGTTATCAAATTTCTTTAAGAAGGCTCTCTTGTTTAAATATGAATATTAAGTTATATTAATATTTTTATTATGAAAGTTATTATTACTCTGAATTCTGAACAACATGAAATATAATTGTCAGATCCAACTATTGATGCTTTAATTCATGCTATTTAAGACCAATTTAATGTAACTCTTTCAGATTATGAATTAGATATCTTTTTAATTTGAATTGCTTACAACTGACAATCACACATTAAATGAAATATAAGAAGGAATGCAAATCATAGTCTAAAAAGTTGAAAAAGACTAAGTGAATCTAACAAAATTTAAATCTTTCTTTGCAAAAGCAGGATCAATTATTAAATCTAAAACAATAAGTCATAAATTCTCTTTATCAAAAATAAATCAAGTCTCTAATTAGAAATCTTCTGTTTAAATTTCAGATTCAAAACTTAAGATACCAGATCAATAATCTTAATAGATGGACATAAATAATTAATCGGTTGATGAGTAAAATATTTAAAAGTGCGAATTATCAGGGATTCTATAATAAGACTCAGCTATGGTTTTAGATGAAAAATAATCTGATAGATAATTATTAAATGAATTACAATTAGAATCAGAAAAAATGCATAAACCTCACAATTCTCAAGAATAGAAGAAAAGAAAAAAAAATACTTCCATCAAATAATAGTCTTAAACAACCAAAGATTAAGCCTTTGCTTATGCAGAAGAAATTGCTAATATTCCCAGACTTAATAAACGATAACAAATATTATAGAGAATGGAAGAGGAAAAAGCAGAGAAAGAACGAATTGCGAGATAACAATAGGAAGCTAATAGAATAATTAAGTAGATTTAAGAAAAGATCAAGCAAAAAGAAATATTGCTAAAATAAAAAGAAGAGGCTTTATAGATGCCTGAATTAGAGAAAAGAAAAGTATTTATTTATGCAAATTAAGGCTGTTCTAGCTTAAAAAAGAGAATTGAGTTAACCTATCAAACTAAGTGACTTGACAGAACATCAAAAAAAGTATGAAGAAGACAGAAAAATTAAAGAGTATGAAAGAGAACATCATAAGTAGGAACTGGAGTTTGAAAGCAAATAAAAGTCACTCAAATTTCCTAAGAGCCAAGCTTAGATAAGAGTTGAAGAAGAACAAAAATAGCAAAAATTGATAAGGGAATAGGAAATGGAATAAAAAAAATTGGCCAGAATGAAATAATTAAAATATGCAGATGTTGCTTAAGAGATATATTTCAAAGAACATCCTTTAAAACCTAAATAATCTCCACCTCCAAAGGAAGAATCATCTAAACAAATTAAAGAAATTCAAATTACAGAATAAAACCTAAGAAAAATTCAAAAGTTTATTCCTAAATAAAGGCATATAAGCTAAGATTCAAAAGATTCTATGACAGATTTAAGTAATCATTAAGAGAATCGACCTCCAAAACCTATGGCCAAAAAACTATAAAAGGTTGTAGAAAAGATTGAAAAACCTTCAGAACTTCCACCTAAACCAAAAACAACTGATTATCTCTAATAGTTGAGATTATAAAGAAAAGTTCAAGTAAGCATGGAAGATCAATGGGAAAAGTATATCTATATATTATATTTATAGGATTATTGAAAATAAAGGTTTAGAAAATGAATAGAAAGTCTAAAATGTTTTGAATAATGTATAAAAATTAGAGTAAAAGGCAAAAGAAAGAGAGAAATTAGCCCTGATAAATCGAGATGTTTAAGCAGAAGAAGAAGCTAATAATTTATATATTGCCAGCATTAGAGCTAAATTAGCGATACTGGAGAAAAATTGATGTTTTTTTCACTATATTATAAATTTTGTTATAACTAAATAATAACCTAATTTATTCTAAAAACATAAACCTATTTTGAAAGTAGACAATATATGATATTTAATATTCTAAAATATAATAAAAAGGAGGTATAAAGCATCATAAAGCTGAGTATTGAATATTTAATGAAATCTCAACCAACAGATATGGTGGCTGAATTTAGATGTTCAAATCTACAGAATAGAATCAATCAATAATTTTCAAATTTTCAAATTTGTCAATGAAAAAAGCCTCAAGTTCTTTATAAATTAATAGTTTTAAATGTCGAAAGGAATGAACAGTAATAGTTATTTTTTAGATAATTAATAATACAATTAGAAAAATGGATTACAATGATTAAAGCGTTGGGCTATGCTATTTTTGCGTGTTCTTTCGTTATAAATAGTATACTTATTTGATGATGATAACAAATGCCATTTAAGGGATAGTTTTAATGGGAATAGGAATTTTAGGTCTATTAGAAGAAGTGTAGTTGCTTGTATTTTCAACACCAATAACATTGAGTTTTATATGTTTAGGTGATGAAATTTAAATATAAAGATAGGTAGTTTGGTAGTGTTTGGACTCATATTATAATTGATATTCTTGATGAGAAATTCAGTCTTATATATAGGGAGAATGATGGTAGTGGTAAATATTTTAACTTCTCTCTTTGATTTAAGTTCAGGAATAATATTAATTTTATCTTGTTTCATGAAATTAACTTTCATAGAATTCAATGATACACAGTAATCTTTCAGCGAGACCTAAAGAACAATTTTGTTAATAATTTCAATACTAATAATTATTGTATCTTTATATGGATTTTGGATGACTTTTCTTCAATACCAGACTATTATACCATTATAAGAGTAATTGTAGTAAGAGTTCTAAGTTGTACCAGTAATTTCATTAAGACAAGCAGTTGCTAGAAAGTTATCAAAGAATTTCATTGGAGAACTCACTCCTAATGGGAATGGGAGGATGAATAGACTAGCGAGAGGAGATTCAACTTTAGAGCAGTCTCAACCTTTATAAAGGATGCAAGTATGAGATTATAATCAATTAAAAAGTCAAAGCAATTTATGTAAATTGAATAAAATGAGCCGTATGCAAATCAAAGAAGTGAAAAACTAATAAAAGTTAATGACAATTTAGCTCCATACAATGAATTTTATACTATTTCCAGCAATACTATGAGACATCCTCAATAAACAGATGAATTGCAAACTTTAAGAAAATAAAAGACTCCAAGAGCTACTTAGATTAAATAATAATAAGAAAGTTGATTTATTATCTCATTTTTTAAATTATTAAATATTGTCATAGTTCAATGAAGGTGTTTCTGATTTTAGTGGTAGCAATCATTTAGTTAACTTATGGGGATCAGTGTTCTGAAGTAAGTGATATAGGTTTATGTTTGAAAACATCGAATTTTTGTATTAAATCACTATTAATATTAGGTTATATTTTGGAAGCTGATGTACCATATTTATCAGCTGATAATCAAAACAATGGTGTAGTTTTGGATCAGGTGAATGATAGATGCATGGTAATGAATTTTAAAAATTTAAGAGTCTTAACTATTTTACAAGATGTGATTAACTAATAACCAAAGAGTCATGCAAATTAGGAAGTTGCTTGTGGGATCCTATTAATGTTGAATGCTATGTATTTGATTCAATTATCCAAAGGAATGGGATTTAGCACCTTGTTAAAGTTACTCCAAATAAATTTGTTAATGGAATTCTTAATGTGAATTAGTGAATTTAACTTAAACATTAGACTTGCTCACTAACTATACAATGATGAACAGCGTAGATAATTCATAGAGAGATGGAAGAGCCCTAGGTACTTGGCTATATGAGTTCGGATAAATAATTTAAATCTTAGAAAAATAAAATGATCAAGAAACGTATCTCTTCACAAAATGTTAATTAAAAAATCTGTGTGAATTAATTCAGATTACTGATGCTAGTTAAGGAATTACTATATGTCATTAATCTGAATTGGGATGTTATTTTAATTCTCAGTACAAGATGTGCAGTACTATTAGTCATACTACCAATTGTGCTGATATTAAATGGAAATCTAGATGTGAAAGTGGAGCAGCTCCTTGTGTATGGCTGGGAGTGAAATGTGTATAATATAATGATCCTGATGTTCCATGCAGTTTTCTAAGCACTACTGCCTGTTTGAATAATGAGAAATGCTATTTAGAGGGGGCTAATTGTAAATCCTATTTACGATGCAATGATTATAAGACAAAAGCAACCTGTGATGGTGATCATGGATTTAAATGTTACTTTGATGATTATGAGAATAAGTGCAAATTATTAACGACTGATATTCCATGCAAAAAGAGAGGACAAAATAATTGCGGTTGGTTGGGTATGTGTGAAAGTATTGACAACAAATGTCAAGTGAAATTACCTGAATTTTATTGTCAATCTTATTCATAAGCAGAATGTAATCCTGAACCTAATCCTGTTCCTCCTGTTCCTATTGTTTATCCTGCTCCTGCTGGATGCAAATGGGATGAAAACCTTTAAATATGCAAAATCAAAAATGCCTACGATTGTTCAAGCCAAAAATCTCAAGATTGTGATAAAACAGGAAATTGCTTTTTTGATATTGTTCTTAATTAATGCACCGTGATATAGAGAAATACAAAATGCGAGTTGTTAGGTTAGATCTCCTGTCAAAAGAAGATCAATTAAACAAACAATCTTTGCTAATGGTCAACAACTAGAAATCTTTGCATTTCGATTTTCGACTTAGCTTGTGAAGATATATAGGCTGAATTTTGTTCAAATAGAGAAAAGTGTTTCAAGACTGGCAATGTTTGTTAAACAAGGAGATAATGTTAAGATAACATATAGATTGTGGATTGTTGGGATGATGCATCATAATTCTGTTATTTTAATTTCGATTTATAAATTTGCACTAGAGTTACAACTTATTCTCCATGTGAGTAAATATTTAGAGAAGCCTCTTGTAATCAGGCTATCTGTGCTTGGTAAAATGGAAAGTGCTTAAAATTAGAAAATGTTAGTTGCAGTGAATTAACAGTTTAAAATTGTAAATACTCAAGTTAATGTTAATATTACAATTCTAATTGCATTCCCCTTGATCAATGTGGTTTAAATGATGGAAATCAAGATGGCTGCGAATTAGATTCTCATCATTGCATGTTCAATTCGGAAACCTTAAAATGTTCTTAAATAGATGGATCTTCTGATTGTTCATCTATCATTGGAGCAGATAACTGCAATTATGGAGCATGTAATACTAATATATAATTTAAGGTGTTCTCTAGCCTGGACTAGATAGAAAACTACAATGTGTGGAATATGAAAATGCTGATTGTTCATACTTGAAATAAGAATACTGTAACTTTGGACAATGTACATGGAATGTTTCATAGTGTGTCTCATACCCATACAAAATACAAAAAACTACTATTATTGACAATGCAAATGCCACAAATACATCTTCCCCTACGAATGGCACAGTCTAAAATGAAAATAACTCAACAACATCCAGCTCTGGTTATGGAATCTTAGTTATTTCTATTCTAGCATTTTTTATAGAATGAAATCTGATAACATATTACACCAATCAAAACCAAAAATAAATATACAAAACCATTTCATTTCATTTATTATAATAATTCTCTTTCTAATTTGTCAAAACCAAAACTTAATTATTAATTCTCTTTTAATAATAATTCTTAAACTTGCATTGACACTTTATTTATAAAATCTTTTTGTTTCTCTCTAAATAGACCAACACTTTTATTATTCTAAAGTTTTAGATCATCATTTTCTAAGCTACTTTTTTGCTTCTTTTCTTAATTTTGTTTCTTGTATCCATATTTCAACCTAAAATTCAATCTCAAGTATGGAATTGCTAATCGTTCCTCCTCCAAAGGTTCTATTTATATTTTATACTATTTCTTCTATCCTTAATGAAGATAAGGTTAAGAGCTATTCTTTGTTACCCTGTGTCCGTTCTAAATATCTGGTAAATTTCTTGAGTTGTTTTAGGAACGATGTAGTTTCTAAAGAACTAATCCATCACCTGCTTTTAAACTGCTTCGATTAGAAATATTATTCTTTGGACTTAAAATGCTTGGAACAAAATAATTTTAATGATTTAATTTTTCCAAAGGGGTCTTTTTCAAAGATCTCACAGAATAAAGTTAGTTTAAGTTTAATTCTTTATAGTAATTATCGAGCAAAGCCTATTTCATAATAAATAATATTGTTTTTTATTTCTTAAATAATTCTAAATAAAGAAGTACTAGCATTCTCAAACAAAATGATCCATATGAATACACTTAAATAGAAATTGATATAATTTCATTGAGATTTGTTTTCTTTTTGTGGAAGGCAAACCTAAAATGATATTATAATTATTACAAGCTATTTATAAAAATACTTAAGAAATTAGTAAGAATAAAAAAGAACGAGTAATTTTAAAAAAAATGAATAACTTTAACTTATACAACATTAATATAAAGGTGGGTTAAAAAGTAACTTTAATTTTATATTGACATAATAACATATTTTGAAAAAAACGAAACTTAGATATTTTGATAACAATATGGCATACTTATTTTAAGTAAAAAAATTAAGTATTAAAATGAAATTGAAAATATGATTCGACTTAAAATTATGAATATTTAAGTTAATTTAATATAACTTTCTATATATATAGATTGAATTACGAATATATGAGAAATATAAACAAATTCTAAATTCACTCATTTTCATATTGTATATTATCTAAATTTAGATCCTGTCTTAATTTATCGAATAATAAGCATAGTTTCTGATCCCTTGACGAATTAGCATATTCAATTAGAGATTAGATATTTTTAACTAATTTTTATTGTCTATCTTTAACTTTTTGAATTGTAAAATGATTCGAAATTTTATAAATTTATTATTATGTTGCCTCACTTATCTCTGTTTTGTATCTTCTAGCAGAGGGCAGAATCTTACTCGTCAAAATTGGAGGATATTTTTATGGTGTTTTTAAGATTAAATGGGGTATTTAGATCGGAGTTTGATTTTCAATGGCATCAAGATGAATTTTAAATCTCTCAGTTTTTGGATCAACACTACTTACAGACATACTTTTTTTATTCAAATCTGGGAATTATTTGATATCTGTTGAATGATCACTGATGTTATGAGTAAATTTTCTTATATGATGATTACTTGATTTATCACTAAAGCTAAGTTTGTTTGAGATTTTTTTGGAATCATATTTTTGTAGTCGCTGTTTTGAAGAACTAATTTCTTTGAGTGCACTCTGACATTGTTTCTCCAATAGGTTAATGGGTCTAGCTTGTATTTTTGGAAATAAAAAATTCATTATATAATATTAAAATACTTTTTATCTTCGTTTGATTTTTAATTTAAAAATATTCTTATCATCTATTTAAATATATGACTATAAGTTTGACATCATTTTAGAAGAATAAAAATAAGATATCATACAATTTGGTAGATATAAAAAATGAAAGTGGATGATAATGAGCTAATAAAATGACATCCAAAGTAAGTATTTGGCTATGGTGTAGATAAAATAGAACAAAAGCGATTTGCAAGTAACGCATTGATTATAAAATTAAGATTCATAAATAGATAATATTAAATCATATAACTAATATAACCTTAACTTATTTGACTCAATAAATTTAGAAAAAAGAATTAAAAATTGAATATCCAGCATTCAATAAAGGGATTTGAAATATAGTAAAGAAAAATAAATTGAAAAATGGAAAAAGAAATGATCTTATAAGGTGCACTTATTGAAATTGTTATGATGAGAAGGGCATCTAAGTTGTTAACCAATTTTGAGTTATCATTTATGTTACTAAAGTGAGAGTTTAAAGTTTTCTAATTATTTTGAAATTTAAATTTCAATATAATATATTTAACAATTATGTAAAAGAAAAGGTTATCATCTGTTGACAGAAACTTTATGTCTTCACTTCGGAAATATGAAGAATATCCCACATCAAAGTAAATGAATGCTTAAAAAAGAGAAGCATAATTATAAGAGCAATAATTGTTGATTTAGGACATTCAAGCAAATATTTCAGATTTGGAACAGGGAAATTTTGTGAAATGCTTTACAAGTATAAATCTAATGTTTAATGATCCAAATTATTGCCTTCGAAAGCATATTACTTTTTAATTGTTTGTACCTGAAGAAAAAGATTTCATTGGATTTACAATATTGAACCAAAAGGAAATTTGGATTTTATTATTGCTATATTTTGACATAGTGAATTAGGATAAGAATTAATATGCCAGATATCTTTGGTAAAGCATAATTAAGAAAATGTCTGAATTTTTAAATTATGAACTAAGAGAAGAGGTTATAAATAAAGTCAAACTGTATAAATAATAGTCTAAAATAGCAATTAATTTTAATAAATAAGTTAATTAGCTAACAAATCATCGTTACTCTTTCCAGGAATATGATGATTAAAGCAAAGAAGGGAAGGAGATTAGTGATAATCTTAAGGAAATTGTATTTGATAAATCTAATATGGCAACATTGTCTGATAATTCAATAATTGAAAGAAGTTAAGTTTTAGAATAGAATATTGTGATAATGTATGATCAAGTTGATTCAGCAACAAATGAGGATGCATCAAATTATGGCCCAAATAATAGTTCACTTGATTTGAATAACGATTTTGTAGAAATCACTTACCATAATTAAAATCCACACGATTTTCAAATACCAGATATTTCATTCTAATAGCAATCATAGACAGAAGATTTAATAAAGAATACTATTTTAACAGATTAAGCTAGCAATTAAGTTGAGGTCTCTTTAATAGCGCAGATGGAACAATTAGGTTTACAGGATAACTAATAATGTGATCAATTGAATAATGCTATTATTGTAGACAATGACAATGATATTCAGGATAGCTGTCAAAATTTAGAATTAGATTCAATCAGTTAGACTTCACTTGAAAATGTCAAAATCCAAGAATCATCAATATATTACTAGAAATTCTAAGAAGAAAATAAATCAACAGAGTATCTTGAAGATAATAAAGTTATCAAGAATTCTTAAGTAAATATTTCAGATTTTGAAAAAATCGATGAAGATTCAATTTCAAATCCTGATTAATTTTGTAAGAGATCTCACCATACTCCTCAATTTTCTATGAATTAATAGATTATTAATTAGGAAGTAATCGAGGAGTAAAAGAATTCAACCTAATAAGATGAACATTAAGAAATTCAGTTTTTAAATTACGATGAACTATTAGCACATGATTAGGCTAAACAGATTTTGAAAAAAGACTTGGAACAATTGGAAAATGATTCAGGGGATGAAGATAATTAGATAGAAACTAAGCAATAAGAGTCTAATAGAAAAAGGAGTTAATCATGTCTTGAAAATAGGGATATCATTAAAGTTGAATTATAATAATCTCCAAATAAGGTTAATTCAAAGAAAAAGACTATTGAAGATTACTTTAAACCTAAAAGCAGAAATGAGACAAAGGATTGCAATGCACTGGATGAATAATGTGTATAACAAGAGGAATTTCAATAATCTTCACATAATGAGAAAAGGAGAAAAAGTAGAATTAGCAAAATTATGCAATAATCAAATGCAAATTTACAACCTGATAATGAATATGATTTATCTTCACAACAGCCATAAAGACAGTAGAATTTGGAACAATCTCATGATCTTGAATCTTAATAATTATCTTATCATAAAAAGAGAAAATCATCATTAGTTGATATACAATATGATCAAAATTTTATGGAGAAACATGGATCAGGATATAGATTCGAAATTTAAAAGGCACCCAAAAGATTAAAAGAAAAATATTAAGTTGAAGAAATACTAGTCCCAAAGAGATCAAGCAAAAGAATTTAATATCCTCAGAGAAGTGACTTAGAAATATCTAAAATGATTATTGCTAATAATGAAATCTTGAATTATTTTACTCCTGCAGATCGATAGTCTTAACAGATATCGGAAGAAATTAATAATAGAGTTCATCCAATGACATATTTCCATTCTCTTCATAAGAATGATAAAAATCAGATAATCGTTGTAAGTTATTGAACTATTTCCTTTTAGTTATCGAACAATTAAGAGCATTTTATTGATGATATCGTTGAGGTGGAGATTTGTATGCAAAATATAAATGATAATGAGAGTCATCATATAGTTAAGGTAATATAAATTATTAATTAGATTGTAAGTGGGTAATTAAATGGTTAAATAGCAATTGCACAAATAAAAAAATAGAGTTCTGAATAAATCATATTTGAGGATTACAACTTCTACAATAATTATCTCCACTTTCATCATTAACAACCATAGACTATCTACTTACCATTAGGCAGCTATTTAATTAATTAAAATTGACTATATTATATTTAGTATTAAAATATTAGCTAGAAATATTTCTAAAATATATGAGATTGGCTAAAACAGAAATTCTTTACAAGATTTTAAATGACTATACATTTTAATGCAAAAATCAAGTACAAATTTAAATTCAATCCAAAATGTGCTAGAAGCATTTCTGATGAACAATAATTATCAGAATTAAAACATATTTAAATATTTCTATATTATAATGGTTAGATTCATTAAATTAGATTTTAAATGGAATCTTATTTTAAATAGATGATTATGATCTTGCTAGCTATATCAATTTTCAATAGAGTCAATTCACAATAGACATATGAGAAAGTAACCTATTATCTAGACACAACTACATCGGCTCTAAACTTGACTTGCCAAGGTCAAACAAGGGTTTATCAATCAGCAATCTCAGGAACATGGAGTGTTATGTAATTCTAAATCAATACTGGTTATGGTTATCTGAGCTTATTTTATACTTTGGAATTGCATACGCCAACTATTTTAAACAATGATATTATCTTTTTGGAAAGTGGCTAAATTGTATATACAATATAAAGATTTGCTTCTGGATCAATTTTAACTAATTTCTGTTCTTCAACAAGTTATGTTCAATTTATTTAGTTTACTTCAAGCACTATGATGAATCAACAATAAGCTACACTCTATGTTAAAACTAATACTGCAATCACATTTTAGATTAAGAACTTAAATATTTATGCTGAGAGGTGTTAGTTGCATTGCAAAACATGTAATGAATTTAAATAATGCACTGAATGTATGCCAAATTTTACAATTGGTTAATGGGGACGATGTTAATGTGATTCGTCATTTCTAACTTATTACTAAGGATAATGTATTACTTCATGTCCTGCTAATCATATTTTTGATGGTACTACATGTATTCAATACAGCTAATTAATAAATTTATTATATGATGATACAGCATCAAAATTTACGATGTACCCAGACTACAATACAACTTAGAGAGAATGTAAAACTACTTTAGAAGGTAAATAAGTAGCAGGCCTATTTATTTAGAATGAAATTGTAGAATATAGAATTAGTAATCCAACGGCTACACCTATCAATATTTAAATTGAAGCAGAGTTTTATCTTTTCAATCTCCAGTTAAAATAGTCTTTAGATTTGTTTCTCAAGTTAAATGATTACTTGATATCTAAAACCTTAATAATGAATACTATAGCAAGTCAATTATCAGCTTTAGTAACAATAAATCAACATTTATGTTATATAGTTGGATTTGATTCTTGCCTAAGGTTTACCATAATATAAAAATTTGAGAATGTTTTAGATCCTTAATCAATCTAATTTTAATTAAATATTCCATTAGAAAGAAAGGAAATCACTTGGGCTATTTCCTCTATTAATGTTAATGCTGTTTATTTAAGTCCAATTACTTGCCCTTTTAAGAGATTTCAGAATGAATGTGTTGATGAATGCCCAATAACTTCAAGGACTTCAGGTAGTGAATGTATTAGCATAATTAACGATTACAAATTTTCGAAAATATTATTGATTCAAAACACTGACAATTTTGCAATAAAATAACAATTCAACGTTTAGAATCCTTGTTATTTATTAGAAAATACAATAAGCTTAAATTGTAAATTTTATTTAAAACGGTATCTCTAAGGAGGTGAGTTGACGTGGAGAGATTACTAAATTAAATTGAAACTTAACAACCTGTCTCCTCATTATAAATTGAAACTATTTTTAAAGGCCATACTGATAGATCCTGTGGATAGTCAATAGAGTTTAATAGTGAGTATAGATGAAACCAAATATGTATTAAACAAAAATTCGCCCAATTCCTATTGTTTCAGTGGCGTAGTTACAGCAGGTTGTATAATTCAGGAAGATCTTGGTACATCAACTGCGGATTACTTAATTAACTTTGAACAAGAATTTGATCATTCGAATACTGATTTAGAGATTGGGTTTACTTGTAACATAAAGAGATTTGTTAACTCTTATTGTACAATGTATGATATAATAGTTCTTTAAGCAAATTGTCCTGAAAATTGTTAATATTGTACCTCAGATTCTGTTTGTATACAAGCAGAATAATATCTTTAAGTATTTTATGATTGCCCAAGTGAAGGCTATTATTATTCTTAGGGCGCTTGCTTGAGTTGTTTAAGCTTTTGTAAAACATGCACTGATGGTTTTTATTGTACGACTTGCAAGGATTAATATGTTAAATTTGGAAATTTATGTTTTTGCAAATTCAATTTAGCCTTGGCAACATACACTGATTGTTCAGAGGAGGATTGCCATCCCTCATGCTCAAAATGCTTAAGAAAACCTTATGCAGGTTATAATCACGCACTTTAATTCGCATCTTTGCTTTGTGCTAGTTGTGATAGAAATGAACATAAAGTTCTTAGTTTTGATATTTGTGAATGTTTCTAAGGCTATTATATGGATCAATTTAGTTATCCAAACAAATGTATACTATGTAGAGAAACATGTAAAACTTGTTCTGATGCAACATCTTGTTTGACGTGTTTTCCAGAATAAAATAGAATACTACAAGATTATCAATGTTAATGCATATAAGGCTATTTTGAAAATGGATTGGACTTTGCTTGTATAAAATGTAAACAGACTTGTAAATATTGTTTATACAAGGAGGAATATTGCACTAAATGTTACCCAGAATAATATAGATAGTTATCAATATAAAACACATGCATATGCTAAGCTGGATATTATGAAGACACTACTACAGAAATTTGTTTAAGTAATTTTATAATTGTATTTTTTAGAATGTAGTGATTATTGTAATACTTGTTCAGACTTTTCAATCTGCACATCATGCAATGATTTTCAATTCAGGACATTGGATTTACGTACTAAATAGTGTATATGTTAATCAGGCTATTACGATATCTAATAATTAGATTGTTCACCATGTTACTATGCCTGCAGCAAGTGTAACAATTCTGATCTTATATCCTAATGTACTGCATGTCCTAATTCAAGGTAGAAATCAGCCCATAATATTGAAACTTTTGAATGTAAATGTAAAAAGGGGTATTTTGATGATGGATATTTGGAATGTCTACCTTGTAATAGTATGATCAATCCACCAATTACACATTATTGTTACTCTCATTGTGGAGATCTGATCATCTAATGGAATGAAGAGTGTGATGATGGAAACTTAGATCCAAGAGATGGATGCAATCAGTGTTTTCTATAAAATCCTAATTGCATTGATAATATCTGTTTATAATGTTAAAACAACAAATGTCTTTAATGTATAGATGGATATTATTTAAATAATGATTATGCATGTATTCAATGTTCTGATGAATGTTCTAAGTGTGAATCTTCATAGAATAATTGTACATAATGTAAGTTTAACAAACTAAGCACTGATAAATGCTTAAATTGTTCCTAAGAGTAAGGTTTTGTCCAAATAGATGACGAGTGTTTTAGTATATGTGGAGATGGTATTCGAACATTTTAGGAGTTTTGTGATGATGGAAATCAATTAATAGGAGATGGCTGTGATTAGTACTGTAATGTAGAAGATGGCTATATTTGCAATCTTCAATGCGAAAAGATTAACTATCTTGAAATTCTGCTGAAGGAAGATCATTTAGACACTATTTATGATTCCATTAGAACAATCGAATTGAAACTCAATCAAGAAGTTAAGATTGCTACAAATAATTCTATAATAGATTTTATCAAAATTACCTCTACTACTCCTAATCTTATATTAACTGTCATAAACGTTAAGGACTATTCGTCTTTTAAAAATGATTATTTTAATGTCGGTTTAGATTTGTCTATAGAATTGAATTCATCTGCAATTTCTCCAAACATTACAGTAACTATTTAAAATTATACTCTTTTTACTAATTAGCAAGGGTATACCTTTAAAACTAACAATGCGTCAATATAATTGATTGATTTCATCAAGCAGGATCAATTTGTCCTTAAAAATAGTCAAAATTTAATTTAAATGAGTTCATATTTCCTTTATATATTATTAGGATTAGCAATCCTAGCCATGATATTCGGAGGTTTGGACATATTTTGGAATCTTTTGGATACTTTGTAACTAATTTGTTATTTAAAATATTTTAATGTATCCTACCCTTATAATCTTTAATACTATTTCACTATTTTTGGGTTTGCTGAATTTGACTTTATTAAATCTTACTTTGATTTTGAATACTTGATTACTCAATATGTAGACACTCCAGAAGCTGATCCAAAATTTAATTCAGAAGGGTATTCTACTGTTTTTTTAATTAATATAATTTCTGTCCTTTTTGTATTTCTAACTACTAGTGCTACTTTTATGATTATAAAAGCCCTATTGTACTTTATAAATAAAATTACAAAAGACTTTTCTGAAGATATGATATTAAACGAAAGAGAAAAAATTAATTTATTCACTTTTCTATTTTACAAAATGGCTAATAGTTGCTAAAAATATTTCCTAAAAATTGTGACGGAGTTTAAAAGTGCAATCATTAGAACTTTTATGGCTTCTGCCTATGATTTAAACATAGCTATCTTTTTGTAATTTAAGGATATACATTTTGATCACCCTATATTAAGATTGAGTAGTATTTGTGCTATTTTTGTGTTTTTTTTGGAAGTATATTTTATCTATAATGGTTTCGTATTTATGAGTAAGGACTAAGCAATATATAAGTTACCGAATACCAAATAAAATTATGGGTCACTTTTTGAAGGTTTAAATTTAGAAAGAAATCGTTTCAATTATTATTTTAATCTATTCATTGTTGTTAAAAAGGTTGCTTTCATAGCCTTGCTAGTGTTTCTGTATAACACTCCCTGTTTATAAATTAGCTTAGTGTCTCTATTAAGTTTAACTCAAGGTTTATTTTTATTCTTTAATCAATCATTGGAAGATCATAATGAGCTTACTAAATAAATTACTTGTGAAATTATTTTATGGATAGCAGAAATTTTAATTTTGACATTTGGGTTTAATGAGTAAAGTAATATTTTGAATCGTTTGTAAATTCTAAATATTGGATGGATCGTAATGGGATTTTTATCCCTAATAATATTTGTTTAATTAATAATTGATTGCAGACAACACTTTTAGTTCCTTAATGAAAAATATCTATTGCTCAAAAAATTAAGACTTTGGTTTCAATAATATTTTAAATAGGATGAAGTTCAATCATCCTTATATACTGATTCTAGTTAGTTTTCGATAATATTTCATAAAAAGCAAAAATAATTACCAAACATTCCGTCAGTTTAAGGCTCAGAGAAGTAAATAAATCAACGTCGTATTGTCTCTTTTAATTTGAGGTGAATTATGGATGATTGTATACTATTTAATTGGTTATATTGCATTAATCTAAATAATTATTAATTTCTTAATTTGTTTTTATGTATCTAAGATCATAAATATATCTTTAGTTTTATAAATTCACAATATGGTTAAATTTTAATAAAATTATATTTTTATAGATGTACTTTAATTATCATAGAGGAAGGGTGTAATAATATGATTTGAGATTTAGAATAAAATAATTTTAAAACTAGCAGATGACAAAAATTATAAAATCAATATCATGATGTTAATTTAACAAATGTAGGTAAACGTCTCCATTTTGTTTCCGTACAAGTTAAATTCTCATCTAAAATAAATTTAAAGTGGGGAAAATAAGAAGTCTCAGGAATTCTATTATAATAAAGATAGCCATACAATTCAATCGCATTGAATTCTTCTTCTAAATTTTTGTTAATGAACAAATTTGATGGATTAAGTAAATCAACAACTTCAGTATAACTAATATTTTGAGGACGATTAGTCTTTTTGGATGTAGCATTGCTTTTCTTTTTTTTTCTAGTCTGCCCTTCTAAAGAATCATTGGTTGACAAAGATCTCAAAGAGTCATTCATGAAATTAGCAGTTAGATATATAATAAAAATATTAATCAAATTAAAAGTCTCAACGATAATTTCTTTACTTTCATAGCAATTTATCAAAGACACCTAATAATATCTAATTCTATCTAATACAAAAGAGATTCTTTTAATGACATAATTACGGGTGAAGAAGTTCTACAAATAGATTTCAAAGAGAGACACTTTCAATCAATTCTTCATCTTTGATAAATTATAAGATATCGGATTAAAATGGTATATCAGCATTAATATACTAGTATTAAGTATGTTATTTTAATATAGAACTATCATTTTCTTTGAATTCGAGTTCTTAAAATAATTCTAAGAAAATAAATATATTGATAATATTTGGAACTATTACTAAAATATGTGATAACATACTAACAATTCAAATTAATACTATTATGATAATTTATCATATTTAATCATTTTAATAAATCAGAAAAAAAATGAAAAAAAGTCTTTCAAATAATAATTATAATCTATTATTCCATCCCACACAGTATAGAATTGATATATAATTGCATAACCACTTAAATTTGAACTAAGAAATTATTAAATAAATTAGTGATATCTAAAAGTATGATTTTATTGAACATTCATTATATATAATTAAGGAAATTGAAAATTATAATTAAATTTTTAACAAATAAATACTTAAATTAAATTTATTTAAATTAAAATGTATATTGATGAATTGCCGGTTGGATAATAAAAGCAAAATTTCATGGTGGAAGAGTTCCCTCCAGGTAAGTTACATCAAATAAATTAGATTTCGATCCTTAGTAATTTGATAAAGTTGATTTGCCATTGAAGTAAAGAATAAAATCAAAGGTTTGGAAAGTAAGACTTCAAGCATACGAGGAATTGGCAAATGAGTAAGAAATTGAGTATGAGTGCATTTTATAAATAACACAGGATATACATGTTTAATGCCAAGAGAAGGCTCTCTAAATAGCACTAAAATATTTTGAATAGCATCATTAACTAGAATCTTCACAACAGAAAGAGATAATAAAAGTGTTGATAGAAAAAGTGTTAATATAATAGAAATTAAAACAAAATGGATATTAATTGGCCATTATACTCTTTCCATATTGTAAATAAGCTATTTTTGAAATTATAATTGCAGAGTTAACTCATAAAAATCCTAAAATAGTGTAAGCAACCATCAGTCTGTTATTGGAGTTACTTCAATAATATGGTGTCAAGAAATTAGATAATTTAAAACCTTTTTTCCCCATCCTATCAAAACTAACGGAGGCATAGTAAACTACAATAAAGGTTGATGCAATATCCTTTTATAAAGAAGTGACAAGATGGTTTGGAAAGAACATTGAAGCATTTTTTAGTGGATTGAATGAGAAACTCCAATAAGAGCTAAAGAAAATTGCAGAAACAATAACAGAAGTTCAAAAAGCACCTAGTCAAGATGGGGATTTTGAAACAGGAAATTAATAATTGTATGATTTGGCAGAAGCAGTTGAAGTATTTCCTAAATTCACAGATTCTTGGTGTGAAAAGGTTTTTTAACTTGAGAAATGGTAAGAGAAAAAGGAACAATTAGAAAATTTATAAAAAGCATGCTCGGTAACAAAAATGATACCATCACCAAATGTGTATTCAATTGTATAACTTTTGAAGAAATTAATCAACGAGTAAAACATAGCCATATGTATAATGAGTATAAAGATAGCTGGACTTTTGGCTAATGGATTAAGAAAGAATTTCGGTTAGTATGTTAAAATACTAATACAACCATTATTCGCAAGACTTAAGGATAAAAAGTAAAGTATAGTTGATGATACAATAATATCATTAAAAAAGTTCTTCCATTGTTGTACACTTGATGATCTATTTGAAGAAATTAAGGCTTTATTAGATGATAAGGCATCCAGCCCAAAACTTAATGCTTTTTTACTGGTAGAGTATTGTTTAGATGAAATCACAAAAGATAAACTAGTTAAACTTCATTGTATAAAATAATTGGTTCCAATTTGTAAGAAATTAAGTGACGATGGAAATGCGGAAGTCAGAAGCAAAGCAATTATGTTATTGGCTAAAGTATCTGTATAACTGTATAATGGTTCAATGGCTCGATAGATCTAAAGGGAGACAAATTTACAAAGTATCAAGCCCAAGTTAACATTTATCTTGAAGGAATTAAAGCTCTATAAGGCAATAGTACAGAAATCTAATGTACACAGAAATCAACTTAATAATAAAATAAAGAAAATATCTAATAAAATTAACAAGTCATTACTTCAAAACCAGAAGTTACTCATTAAACTAAGCCGTAACCCATAGTACAACAATAAGGTAATTAGGAAGGCCTAAGATTTAAAGTATCAATCTACAATGACTACTAACTAAGTTGAGGTGTTTTTAAAATAGTATAAAACAAAAAATAAGGATATGAATGAACTTGGAAATATTTTATTAACTATTAATTAATAATCTAAGTAAATTTTAACATTCATTATGGATTACATTGTTGAGAAATTAGGAGATTAAAAATAACTTTGCTATTAACTATTTGAAAAATGCTTCTAATCATATAAGCCAAATCATATATCTCAACTTATAATCAGCTTTAAGAATGCTCCTACTTAGGTGTAATTAATTGAAGTCTTGACTTTATTACTTAAATACATTCCTTTAAGTGATAAAACAATTGATTAATAGTTAATTTCAGAATTTTTAAAAGGTTTTCAAAATCAATCAAACTAAAAGGCGAAGCTACTTGTAATTGATTGCTAGAATGCATTAAAATAATTGTTTGAAATAAAAAAGGTTCCATCAGAAACAAAACCAGCAATTCCATTTTCATTGACATAATTTAGTGATCTATAAATTGAACGATTGAAAGAACAATTAAAAGTACCTTAAATCCCTTAGAATTTATATGATAAATTGTTTAGTTACAATCCTTAATAAAATTTAGCTGCTGCATCTTATGTCAGATAAAAAATTGCATAGCCAGCTGAATTCACAGAAATCTTTTTTAAATGGGGCTATTTAATCTCATGGTTTAAGGAAAGCATCCCTTTGCAAACAGAAATAATGATGCTATTTTAACATCTGACTTCTTAGCATAAACTCACATAACTGGAGCATTAAATTATAACGTATTACATTAAAATGATGATCTTATTATATATAAGAAATGGAATGCCAAAATTAGCTCAAAGAACTTTGCCATTACTTATGAATTTATTAGCAGAATCACAGAAATAAATTACTTAAATATAACAATTAGCTTAATTTGATGAATTTGATGATGTCTCCAATTCATAAGCTAATTAAATAATTAAATAAATGCAAGACAAAATCTCTGAATGGAATTGTAATTCTTAATTATAGTAAAAATCTATCCTAATTTACTTAATGTCATTTATAAATAAAGAGGATATTTTGAAAGAAAAGATTCTAGAGTAGAGAAAGCCATCAATTAGGCTTGAAGGCATCTTAACTTCAAATATTGATTGTTAAAACAAATAAGAATTAGTCTAAAGTTCTCAAAAACTTCTTTAAAAGTAGCTTTCTGATAAAATAATGACTTTTCCAAGTTGTTCATAAAAGAAATTGTTATAGTAATAAAATTTTAATTTACAATAAAATCAAAGTATAAACAGTGGGAACAAAAATATCAGTTCTTCTTAAATTCTAAATGTGAAAGAAAATGAACATGATATAATTTTGAGAAGCTTTAATTAGATGTATTATAAATTCAGAGAAACCAATTGTATTGAGAATTCTTAAAGCTTTGCAGAACAAATCATATTTCTATTAGGCGCTCTTTTTAATGATGAATGCTATGATAAAATGAATGAGTTCTTGGAGAAATTGATTCATATCTTATCATCAAATCACTTTTACAAAAGCATTTCGTATCAATAATTTTATGTTATTTTTGATACTTTAATATTTAAAATGGTTGAATAATCAACTAAAAATAATGTTAAGGATGGAGCATAGAAATGCTGTTATAATTTAATCAATTCAAATTTAATCAAGATTTTAAACAATCAAGATTTATGTAATCTATATTTAGCTTTCCTGGATATATTAATAAAAGTAAAAGAATCTGACACTTAAACCAAATAATTTTATGTATTAGTAACCAAATGTTTAAGTAAATCTGCAGATCAATTAAAGGGATAATTCTAATGGTCCTAAGTGTAAGCAATTTTGGAAAAAATTCATTAATATTTGAGTAAATCTCAACAACCTTAAGTAAACCTTGAATACACCCAATATCATAATTGCTTATTGAATGCTCTCAAAACTACAGTAGTATTTTTCTTTAACTACAATGATGGTATTAAAGTGTATTAATTTATCATGCAAAACACTAATGAAACCTCAATTTTAAGATAATGGATATTAGAGGTATAAGAAAAGAATAATACTCATCTAATAGTAGATTTAGCTAAATATCGAAGATCAAGAGACACAAATTTTACTCAAATAGTTGAATTACTCAAAATTGATTTTGATAAAACTGTAGAATAATTTGTACCCATTGTAAGAAGATAAAATATAAATTGGAAACCTCTAGTTTAATTTTTGAATTCTGATCAAATAAAATTTATAGAATAGAGATTAGAATAGACATCGCATATGAATATTTTAGAAAAAAAAGTTGGTGAATTGGAAAAGATGCTTAATTAATGAAATTATAATTAAAACTTTTAAAGTAATATTTACTTTCTTGATAGTAGTAATTCTATGATTTTTTTTTGTTTAATTCTAATTTATTTTATTAATTAAGTGCTTTATAATTTATATATAATTCCATGTAATTTTCAATAATATAAAGGATAATTAATATTAACATCTAAATTATTTGATGGCAATTCTGGAACCTATTTTGTATGTAAATAATAAAAATATCTGTTTTGGTAAAAATTAAGGTTGATATATTAATTAAAATTTCCAATATATATTAGAATATTATTCCATTTTGGCACTAAAAAAATACAATTTTATCTACGTAGATTATGATAAACTTGGATACAAGTATTTAAATAGATGACCATTCAAAGATCTAAATTATCGCTTAATTTTTATTTAATATTAATAATTTCAAATTGAAAATCTATATATATTTAGCAATAACTGATGCTTAGAAGTGATTTTTTTTAATTCTTTTCATCCCCATTATTATTAGTAGCCATTCCGTGATTATTTCTGTATCTCCTTGTTTAGCATAAATAATAATATTTGATAGATAGAAAGAAACTTAAAATCAATTGAAATGAGAATTAATTTATTATCAATTAATCAACTTTCATCATTATTTAATTACAACCAGCCACAAATAAATGGTTCTGTAGGTTCTGTTTTTTATGGAGGATCTTCAAAATATTTTTTTGTGCTTCTCAATTTTTTTTGATAAATTTGATTTGATAAATTATCTAAAGTCAATGGTTTATCCTATTTTTCGTTGATTAGCCCTGATCTTTGTGATTAGTTTTTTTATCCCATGACTTTTATTTCTTAATTTGTTACTTTTCTAATTAATAACGAGAGTCTCAATTCTTGCTCTGTGGGATGTGAAATTTTAGGTTTTAACTTTTATTTTGGTTTGATACTCTCCAAAGCGTGAATATTTATATTAGAGGGTTAATTAATTTAAGTGTCATATCGAAATGAACGTGATTAATGCCTTTTATCTTCATTGATAGGTGGTAATTTTTGGACAATTTTGTTAACATACAATTTGCTAAATTCATTGGTATTATCATTATAGTGATTTCTATCTTAGTATTTTTAGTAGTGAAATGATTATTTGTTTCTTTGATATAGAAATCGACTTGTTAGACTCATAAATTAATATTTGCAATATTTAATTTTTATTCTTTTAAACTTAATTCATAACAATTATAAAAAAAATAAAAACAACGGTAAAGTTACTACCATATCTATAGAGCAGGATTAGATAAAAGTCGTTAAGGGAGTATAGCTCAGTAGCAGAGCAGCAGACTGCAGATCTGTAGGTCTCAGGTGCGAACCCTGATGCTCCCTTCTTTTTTTATTTTATATAAAATAATTAATAACTAATAATTAATAATTAATCAATTAAAATTATAATTAAAATTAAAATTAAAATTAAAAATTTTGCGAGTTGTATTATTTACGAATTTTCAATAAATAATCACTTTTAAGGGTGGTCTTACATTTTGATGGTTTTAACTGTAGATTTCTCCTCTTCTTGCTGGCTCTCTTTTAATGGATTTTTGTGTACAGATACAACAGCTCTTCCAGATTCATCACTATTGTTTTTGAAAGCCTCATCCCATTCTAAGGCCTAAAGATATATTGTATATAAATACTTTTTCAGTAGAACAAGCAATTGACTTACTATAGGGCACAGTCAAGGCAGCACTATCACATGGAAATGATTAAGAATAAACTTATCTATACCAATATTGTTCCTTATCTCTGGGAGTTGATATGGGATAAGTAATAGAAGCTTAAGAGAATAGTTAATCTGAAATTAATTGATTGGCCCTTTTTATGATTCCATCTCTCCAACCATAGCCTACTCCATCGCTGAATTGTTCCTTTTATCTCCATAATATTTCTTATGGAACATATGGATTGTCTAAATCTTCAAATGCTTTTCTTAATACATATTTTTCAATTTATGGCTGGAATGAATTGACCATTTTATATTTAGGATCAATAGACATAACATATTCAATCCATGACCTATTCATAAATGGTGGTCTAGTTTCAATACCCCAAGCTAAACAAGCTTTATTAGTTCCGAGTAGATCATATTTATATAGATCATTTAACTTCCTTATTAATTCTTAATGAAATTCAATTCTATTTGGTGCTTTATGGAAATATAGATAACCTCCAAATAAATCATCACTTCCTTCTCCAGTTAAACATATTTTAATCCCCAGAGCCTTAACTCTTCTACACATCAGATACATAGGTGTTGCTGTTCTAATTGTATTTTTGTTAAATGTCTCTGTATGATAGATGACTTCTGGAATATAATCCAATGCTTCTTCAACTGTATAAATAATTGACTGATGTTCAAATCCATGATAATCAGCTACTTTTTAAGCGTAATGTAAGTCTGGGGATCCTTCCAAACCAATACAAAAAGAATGAACTTTACTCATTCCTCTCTTACTCAAATCGATTTCTCCATTTTTAATCATTCTTGCAACAATACCAGCAACAATAGAAGAATTAACACTAAAATTATAATGTAAGATATGATTACCCTCCAGAAATAAACAAACCGAATTGTGCATCTCCTTTTATTTCTCTTCTTACAACGTCAATCAATTTCTCTCTCATTTCCTAAAAATTGATTTCTCCATTTGGTATCAGATCAAAATTATGCCAAAGGGGATTGTACCATTTCCTTATTTCATGAGTTTGATCTATAAAATGACCTATTATTTTTTAATTATGAATTCTAACCTGGGGGAAATTATCTTACGTCAACTACTTAATCATGAATTGCTTTTAATTCGGATGATAAAAATAGGGCCCCATCTTTGTTGTAGCCATAATACAAAGGAATCATTCCTATATGATCTCTTCCTGCATAAAATGTGTTATTGTTCATATCCAAAAGAATGGTAGCATGCATTCCATCCATGTGATTCCAAAAACCATTTGGACCATACTTGTATTAAAAATATTTCTCTTACTTCTTTATAGAGCATCCCTACTATTTCTGAGTCAGAATTGCTGCTAAATTAATATTTTTTTTCAAGTTCTGGTTTGATCGACCAATAGTTGTAGAGCTCTCCATTTTACATGTAATAGATATTCTAATCATCCACTAATTAAAATGGTTGTCTTCCTCTGTCACTCAAATCTACAATGTTTAATCTCTCATGAGCTAGGATATGATAAGTATCTGGGCCAGCTTCCTTATAAAAGTAAAATTGAAATTTACTATAATAATGATACGAGATTTATCAGGACCTCGATGTCTTTGTCTCTTTGATAGATTGTATGCTAGAGTTCGCACCTCATAATAAATTCCTTTGATGTTGAATATCGCCAAAATTCCACACATATTTAAAATAGAATACCATTATCTTGAAAATAGTATGCTATAAACTAGTAAATGCGCACTAATTAATATGAAACATTAATATTAATATTCAATTTGGCCATTAAAATCAATTAAGTTTAATAGAATTCAAAATGCAATTTATATTTGCCCACATTAATAAATATATATTTTATTATATTATATATAACAAATGCTAATCTCTGTCTGATTTATGTAATCTCACATTTAAATTCAAACACTTTTGACAGAATTTAAATTTATAAATCTTCCAAAATTTAAGCCCCAATAATGATAGAATTTTATAAAAATAATTAAGTGATCCTTTGTAATATGTATGAATTACATTATCGTATGAAGCATACAATTAATATTACTTTTATCTATGCAATCAGAAATATTTTATATGATAATCTACTTAAAATTAATTAAATTAACTCCTTAATTGTTTATAGATACAAGAGAAAACTCTAAATCCATCATCAAGGCTGAAATTTGATAAATATATAATAAAATTATTTATTATACAAAAATGTGATCACCAAATCTTTCTCATCTTCTTAAGAAGTTTTTGTATGTATTTTGAAATAGATTTTTCAGCTTCTGAGTTTTCCATGTGATCATACTAAGGTTTATTTGAGTGTTCCTTTCCATTTTTTAGCTGATCCACTTTTTTATCAGAATCATTTAAATTTTAATTTTGTAACTAAATTTCAGTGAAATTCAAATTTTTTGGATCTTCAGTTTTACATTCATTTTCTTTTAAATCTTTTTCGGTTTCCCCATCAGATGTGATTACGTTTTATTATTAATCGAATTCTTCAGGTTATTTCTCCTAATCAGAAGATGTTGGTTAACTTTGGTTACTCTATTCTTTACTAGACATAGAAATTTAATCTTAGATGGGTGCCTATTGGATAAATAAATTGAAAATACAAAATATTTTGCATATTACAATGACAATTCATCTTAGATCCAATCTAAATTTACATTATTATAGTTTGGATCTGGCTTATATGCAAAATCTTCTTCAGTCATGGGGATATTGCTCGTACAATTCTATTCATGAAAAGGCAACTATGAATATGGGTAAATATGGAGATAATTGTATTTGCAATGACCATAAAGTGAGTCATCTTACCTCCAGCATTTTGTTACATGTAGCAATAATTATTCTTCAACCAACTTTAATGTACAACCATAAGGGCATGTAATAGGCGCCCTATAATCATTAGACATATTGAAGGCCTGATATTTGGGTATCGTCTCTATGCTCATTTCTTAGTTAAAAACTTAAATTTTATAATAAATTATAATTTAAATCTCTTAAGAGATATATAAATAATTTTGCACGTCATTTTGAAGCTAATTTTTATTAGAAATGACAACATTTCAAAATTATCATAATAAAATTAGTTCCACTAGTCCAGCTCTTTTATAAAAAGAATTTTTATAATTGTTTTATATTATACAATTAAGAATAATTTATCAATCAATTAGAATGGCATTTATTTCATTTTCACCTTAAGGTTAAAATTTATCTTAAGAAATAATTTCATTATCGTTGTCGAATTGAGGCAAGCTTCTTTCAAAATGAGTATATCCATGTTGAATTAGATCACCATAACTGTTAATTTTAGTATTTTATATTATTGGATATAGAGGATCCTTAATGTCTAAACTACCCTTAATACTTCAATATATATTCTTTACATTTTAATCAACAATAATAGAATCAACTTTAACATTTAGCTACTAAATCTTCTTCAATATTTCCCACTAATATTGATCGATCCTCAAACTAATACAATTTTTTTTACAAATTGGACAAATCCATTTCATATGTTCTGCATGAATCATCATATCCAAATAATTGTTTAAACTAAAACATTGTTGATGTTAACAAAATTCTCCTCTAAATTATAAATTACTTTGTACCTTGCAGGTATTTTCATCAAATCGAAAGAATATTAGCAAATAAGACTCACTTTAGATTTATCCACTTTAATTTCGTTTTTACAAAAATCAACCTTAATTTGAGACATGATACTTTAATTAACTATTGAATGAATTACTGAATCCAAACTTTAATTCTGAACTAAATACAATCCAAAAATATATATTTATTTTGGGATCTCTTACCTCATTTATGAATCCGGAATCATTTCTACACATGTGAAAGTATACTTCTTATAAATTCCACAAGTTTTTTAAAGAAAATCAAGATTAATTGAAATACAATGATCTTTTCTTTTCTTTAGACATGATTTATCAATAAGAGGTCTAAACTCCTTAATGGTTTAACCATTAATTAGAAGAATGCAATAATTAGGGAATGTGAAATCTGTTAATCCATTTTAATTCATCACAACACATCTAATCTCCAGTTATATCCCAGGTATTAGAAATTACTCTTATGTGATCGTGAATTCTAGATGTATTTTACTTTACGACTTTTATTAGTATTGATATTCTAAAAATCCCAAAGAAAATATAATTTTCTTGAATGGATTCAATTTTTCTAATAAACAAGATGAGCAGATTTTTATATCATCTTCTATATCTATCAGTTTAACTTTTCCATCGATTTATTTGCAATAATTACATTGTTTCCGATTGGTTTTGATTTATAGTGATTTATTTTATGTTGAAAGATACACATTCCCACTGGTAGTAACATCATATGTCTCTAATTTAGGTTTTTAATCTTTTTAGAATTCTAAATTCTAACCACCTTCAAAAATTCTATTAGATTAAGGGTAGATGTTTGGTTAATAAAAGAGTTAGTTTGGTAGTTGGTTACTTTGTATATGGCTTTACAATTAGTAGGGGAATTAATTTTAATTCCAGTATTAAAGATTTTATTTTGGTTGGTGATTATTTCTTTCTAGATTTACACCTAAATAATCATTTTTGTGGATTTGTAGGTTCTGAGCAACATATTTAGAGGATTCTTTTGGAGTTTCATGTAAAGGATTCAAAAGAGGGGCAGAATCCATATTCTGAAAATCGCAAAAAGAATTTTTCTATTATATTATGCAATTGCTTGTATTAGTTAGAGAATTATTTAAATTGTTTTTTTCTACATTCATTGAATAATTATCTGGCTTTTGGTAGGCAGGTTAAGATTAGATAATGTTAAATTGATTTTCTAATAATTATTTTTGCTTTTGAATCTGAAGTTCAATTCCACCAATAGATTAGAATGAATTTTGATTAAATTATGGAACTTCAATTAAAGGGGAAATAATAGGTCTCTCAATTAATTTTTTTTAATTGAAATTCATATTTTTTAAGTTTTACTATGGATTTAATATTTTCGATCTTTAATTATGATCACTTTGTTGAGCTTTCCTATTTTAGATTAGATCATCCATTTAATGCTTTCCTTATGTGTTTCTTAATTCCTAAATATTTCTTTTTTTTAAAGACTCAGAATCAGAAATTTGTATTACAAATTCATCCTCTTCTGGAGAAGTGTCAATTATAGCTCTGGAAGGTTTTTTTTTAATTTGAATTTATCTACTTTTTCTAGAGTTTGAATCGTTGGTTTTATTATTATCATTAACCCTATTATTTTCTCTTTCATCATTTTTTTGTTAAACTTGTAACTACTTTTTAGTTTCAATTTTATCATTTGGTTTGGTTATTTAATGAGATTATTTTTAATTGTTGAAGTCATTTATGTTATTGTTCTTTTGTTTTTGATTACATTCTTAGTTATTGTCTTTATCTTTTCTTTCATTCAAATCTTCCATTTAAACCTATTCATTAGAAGTGCTTTTTTATGTTTTTTCTTTCGAAATATTTTTATCATGATGATTATCATTAAGAGGATCAAAACTACACTGAGATAATTTTTGATCTTATGGTACTTTCAAATCTAAATTTGTCGGATTGTGAGCACATGGATTTTCTTCAATTTCAAAGGGATTTGATTACTTTAATTTAACTTTTTTCTTGTTCTTGGGAGTATCGATTTAATCCTTTTTCTCCTTGTTTGACTCTTAATTTGATTTAATTATACTTTTACTTTGCAAACCTTAATTTTTTTGCTGAGAACGATCTACATTATTTTTCTTGAAATCACTTCTTTTTATAGAGGATTATTCTAAAATATTTTCAATTTCATTTTCAGCTTCCAAATAATTTATAAAGAACTAAGCAAACTTTCTTTGAAAATCCTAATCTTTTATATTACTGAAATTTTGTAATTAGAGTTAATAGCATATGTTTGTTAATTGCCAATCTTAATACTATGTATAATAAATAAAAATGTTTTACCTGATAAATTGGACACGTTGGATCCTTCAGCAAATCAATCATCACATTTTCTAATAGTTTTTTATGCTCCATAAAATATTATAATTAATAAAGGGCTGTGATTTAATTTCAAAGAAAAATGCAATCCAGATTAAATTTCAAATATCATCATAAAAAATTAAAAAGC